CTATCGCCAGCGTGTTCGGAGCTATCGCGAAAAAAACCCTATGGGGGGGCCGGGTGCCGCCCCCCCTCGGCCAGCGAGGGTTAATTAGGTTCGTAGGCTATTCAAAATGCATCATATTAGCCGTTTTCACGACGGCCATCTGGTACACATTGGTGCACATCTGGTGCAGACAGGTGCAGATTTGGTCAAATCAGGTTCAGTGTGTCTCTTAGTAGCTATCAGCTAGGGTTGCACTATTTGCTTATATGCCTGCTTTGTCATATTATCAGAGAGTATCATCGATTAAAACACTGAAATGAATTCATAAGATAAAGATATTTGCTGTAAAATAAATTAGGTGCAAATTTGGTCAAATCAGGTTCAATCAGGTGCACTCGCCGGAGAGCCCGTCGTGAAAACGGCTATTGCATACCATTCAACTCGGCTGATTACAAGAAACACAATGACGCTATTTTTGAAGTTCTAGCGTCATTGTGAGCCAAGTTATTAGCAAAAACGTGGTTTGACCTCCGTTGACCTCATTTGACCCGATCTCAGCGTTCTTGCGACATACAAACATCAAGTAGACTCAAACTAAGGTATAAAAACGTTAAATCGAGCATATCTCTCTCATGTTTTTACAATTGGAACCCTTCGGGAAAATGTCCTTATAATTTGTCATAACCTCTAGATGACCTCAGGTCAACTGAACTTGGAAAGCTGGGAGGTACGCGATGGCACTCGGCGAGCTTAGCATATCCTTCAACTTGCAAGTTTGAATCAACTTGATGAACTCCTAGATAGATTTCCTGGAAAATAGTGTATTTTCAGTGTCAGTTTGACAATGTACCGATTTTTGTGACCTTGTGACCTGACCTGAGGTCACTGGAACTCAAAACTTCCAGGACACGCGTCAAATGAACGCCCCAAGTTGTACTTGAAATTAAGTAGCGCTATGTGGTATGGCACTCACGCTATTAATGAAAAGCTCGTGTCGTTCCGTTTCCGCTCAACTTTGTCGTCCAATTTATCCTGAACAAGGTTTTTGTGACCTGGTAGCCTGACCTAAAATAACTGAGACCTGAATTTGAAAGATAAGTGTCCGAATGCTGCCCTAGAGGGTATGCCAAATTTGGCAGCGTTACACGCCGCCGTTTTTACGCTACTTGCGAAAACCCTTAGGTGAGTTGCATCAACTCCCTCACCGGGCGGGGGTTAAATCTCCTTCAACAGCATATAAATGCTCCCAGATTAGACTGGAGGTCAGTTGTTTAGCTCCGAAAGGACAGAACCCGTCGAAATGGACATTTTGTGGAAAACGTTTTGATGAAATAGTTTTGCATGGGCTGCAGGGAAATTTCGCTTTATACATGACTGCTTCTTTATAAGCGATGCTGATCTTCGACTTAACCGCCACATACCGATAACTGCATTGATTTGCAATTCTATCATACTCAGTCTAGGAGGTCATGACATGACTTTATGCATATGCGTTTCAGGTAAACCGTTGCTTTCCGAAGCGGCTGTTTGTCTTTATTGAAGACGCGATAGGACTATCGATTTCAGCTGACGCGGCCGATGGATGATGAGAATCGAAGAGGTCGTTCAGAATATTGACGGCTGACCGGTCCTGAGTGTCCCGCCTGGGCAGCACCTCAGTCCTCGCTCAACCGCGAGCGGGTCGCTGTTTGCAGCCATCTGTGCTTTCAGAACATACATCGAGTCAGTGACTACAGAGCGTCACAGGTTGGCCGTTCGAACACTCAGCTGTGGGTACACATTGGATCCGTGAGGTACCGAACAGAAATGACGGTAAATCTAGCGATTCGTCATTTTGGCGCTAGGGATGGAGAGCAATTGTGATTCATAAAGCACCTTTTGGGCTTTTTGGTGAAAGACTTGGTGACTTGATCGCTAGTTGAGTCTGATAATTAGTATCTCGGGGAAGAGCCAAGCAGACAAATGGCTCTTATGTGTAAAGAAATGCTGACAACACGATGGACAGTGTGGATAGTTGTGATTGTCTGGAATCTTCAAACGTGTAACGCTCAAGACAGCTACAAAAATCAACTGTAAGTATGTGTAGCTGCCTAGTTTCTTATATTACGCCCATTTTAAAGCATTTTACATTGATGTACATACATATGCATTCAGACGTTTACCAGACTAAGTGACCTCGCTAGGAAACTGAAACTACAGCAGTTGTATCTATCAAAAGAAGGATGCGATGCATGGATAACGGCAACGCGCATCATTTGAGGATACTGCTCCGCCTTACATGCGTGCTAGGCGGCACAGTCTACCCTGATAGAACGACGCGCTGAAGCTGTCACTACAGTAGTGCAGAGCTACCTCTGTTTTTCATAGAAAAAAAATATAGGTTGGAAACGTAAATACGGCAATTCTAGCGCATTTAAATGTCTGACTTCTTCAATTTCACCAACTTTATTTCACATATAACTTTTCACCCGCGCCCCAGTGGCGCACAGTGATGCAAATGGGGTTCACGAGTGGCCATAAATACTGAAAAGGCCCAAATTTCAAGCTCACCTAATCGAATAAATCGTAATATGGCCAGTCAGCCAAATGTTTGGGGTGTCTGAAAAACATGATTCTCATGTTTTTTTCTCAAAACCGGCCTCGTATATGATTGTCAGAAGTCGTGACATTTTTTATGTCGCAAAATGACTGTCAGATACTCCCAAGTTCAAACTCCGCTAGTGTGCGTTCATTTCATACAAATGGCAACAATTATGCATGGCAATAATCCCCAAAGCCTTCTGCTTCTAATGCTGGGTAACAAAAAGCCGTATCTCTTTTGGTTTGGCGTTGATCGAACTATTTGTCATCATGTTGCAATCGCAGTTTTTTACTATAAAATATTTGCTTTCGTTTCATCTACAGCAGTTTACACATTGTGTGCCCGTTAGTCCACCATACCATTGCATTCCCTAATCGTTTCTGAGCCGCACTGTGAAAGAATTAAGGCGCTAGCACAGGGCTGCCGGCGCTACTAAAGTTTTCGTCCGTTGTGGTCGGGTGCCGCGGCGCGGTGGGCGGCCCGGGCGGCCGCGCCGCGGGCGGGCGGCCACAGCGGGGGTTGGTCGGTGCATACCCATGCTGTTCCTAAACGAAACGTCCTAGCGCCTCGCGACAAAAACCAACGGCTTGCTCTTGACAAGACCTCGCGAGTGAACATATTTTTTTTTACTTAAGGTCAATATTTGACCTACTTATAGCAGGTCAAAGTCAACCGTCTGTCGAAATTGCAAATCCGCGGTGAAAGCAATCCGCCTACCCGCCGCCCACCGCGACACCCGACCGCGCCCGACAAAAACTTCAATAGCTCCGGTCTGCCCTGTGCTAGCGCCTTCATTCTTTCACGGTGCGGCTAAGAAATGATTGGGGAAGGCTAAGAAATAGTGGACTAACGGGCACACACAACTGTGTAAACTGCTGCAGGTGAAACGAAAGCAAATCATTTTTAGCAAAATACTGCGATTGCAGTATGATGACAGATGGTTAAATTACCGCCAAACCAAAAGAGATACGGCTTTTTGCGACCCATCATGAGAAGCAGCAGGCTTAAGGGATCATTGCCATGTATAATTTTTGCAGTTTGTATGAAATGAACGCACGCTAGCGGCGTTTGAACTTGCAAGTACCTGACAGTTATTTTACGACATAGAAAATGTCACAAATTCTGACAATCATACACGAGGCCGGTTTTGACAAAAACATGAACTCTATGTGATTTCAGATGACCCCAACATTTCTTTGGTTGGCCATATCGCGATTTACTCGGTTTGGTAAACTTGACTTTTTGGTATTTATGGCCACTCGTGAACCACATTTGCATCACTGTGTGGCGGTCTCAGCCAACTTCACCATAGTGGGGGGGGGGGGGGGTATATGTTACCACCCATCTCTAACTCAAAAACTAAGAGGGCTAGATAGACGCAGTAAAAAGCAGTCGATAGCTCTCAATGCGTACGTTTGAAAGTATTTCGGTCATTGTTCATCTTAAAGCAATATTGGGGTCACCAGAGGTCATCAAAGGTCAAGATTTGCCAACTGTCATTATATTTTTCAGAAAACATGCCGTTATCTCAGGAACTCTGATAACTAGAAAAACGCATGGAAAAGTAATCGATAGCTTTTGAACATTTCTTTTGATAAGGTCATATCAAAGTTGACCTTAGGTCAACGGTTAAGCCTCCATAGGTCAAATATTGTAAAAATAGCTGTTTTTGGATACAACTTTTTCACGAATAACTTTTGAACCAGCGAAGATGAAGAATTGGCAATGGCACTATCGTTTTTATCTCCTTCAGTCGCTTCGAAACATATATTTGTACTCCCTGGAAAGGTCAAGGTCAAATTTTGACCTCAGGTCAAGGTCATGTGGTGACCTTAATAGGTCATGTTGGATATCATTTGATGCGTCTCGACAAGACAAACACAATGAAGCCATCCCCAGCGTTCTATCTCTTTCCAATCGAGAGTTTTTGGCAAAAATCTGTTTGTAGCCTCAAATGACCTGGGATGACCTTTCTAGAGGCTATCAGCAAAAAGACACCTTGGTCGTCATGGGTGGTCCAAATCATTGTGATTCTGAAATATTTGGACTGTTCCTATGCGTACACACGGATCTAGAGGCATTTTAATTTTCTCCATTGACTTATGATGGAAAGGTCACGCCACTGCACTGTCCTGACCTTAGGTCACGGACATAAAAAATCCGAGATAAACAAATTATAGGCGCCCATAACATCATGCAATCCACCAAGTTCAAACCTCTCTGACAAACACTGCAGGCTGGACATCATTGCAAACTTTTTTAGGCTTGGTCAGTTAACTTAACCTGGTGACCTGACCTGACATGACCTGGGGTAAAATTTGTTCACACATTGTCCAAAATTGATAAACAGAAGGATACTCCAAGCGGCGTCGCGGTTTTTTATTCACACGCAAAAATTGCGACAGGGTGGTAATATATGCCCCCCCCCCACTGGGGCGAAGGTTAAAGGAGTTAATTCATTATTACTTTATGTAAATCATTTACTTAGCGACACTGTCATTCAAATGCAGGTTAAAAGCATTGTTTTGCTTTATGGCAAGCATTACATTGAACTGACAAAGATGTTATATTCCCCACAGATTATCCGCCGAGGAAAATGCCGACAATGCTACGTGCAGAGTGCAGCCGATCTACAACGTCCTTCCGAAGGATTACGACAAATACATGCCTCCGTTCACCAAAGGTCAGCCAGTCAAGCTCAAGGTCACCTTCTGGATTCTTTCCATCACCGAAATCAGTGAAATGAGACAGGATTTCACAGTCGACTTGTACTTCCGCATGATATGGCACGACTACAGATTGCTGTTTCCTGTGTGCGAGCATCGGCCCTTCATCGTAATGGATACTGACCAGTTGGAGGATATCTGGCTGCCGGATCTTTTCTTCAAGCAAGCAAAGAAGTCATCGAGACACGATGTTGTCCGTTGGAATGCAGCTCTCAAAATCAACAGAGCAGACAAAAGCATATTCTACTCGGAACGGTTAGCGATCACCAACTTTTGTGCTTTCGATTTTCGATTTTTCCCCATGGACCGTCAGCGATGTTCCCTGCCTGTCGAGTCGTTCAACTTTTACGCCAAGTACATCAACCTGACGTTCCAACCACCGGGAATCTACTTCAACAACTTCAAGTTCAAGATTCCGCAGTACACCCTGAGCAGCGTAGAGCCGCGCGACTGCTCCTATCACTACCAGTACGAGAACTCATACCTGAACCACACCTGTGTCGAGGCCAGCTTCATCTTCGACCGCCAGTTCAGCTACTACTTCGTGCAGATGTACCTGCCGTCCATCCTGATCGTGCTCGTCTCCTTCCTCAGCTTTTGGATCCCGGTGGAGAACGTCTCCGGCCGCGTGATGCTGGGGGTGACCTCGCTGCTGACTCTAGCCACACAGTTCACCACCGCCCAGCGCTCCCTGCCACCCGTCTCTTACATGAAAGCCATGGACGTCTGGATGTTCTTCTGCATCGTCGTCGTGTTCTTTGCCATGGGGGAGTTCACGCTGGCTTACAGCTTCAAGAACCTGCGGCTGGGCGTCGGCAGCCGGGTGAGGCCGTTGCTAGTCAGACCGAGGAAGGTGGCCACCATTACAGTGCTCCCCGGGGACGCAGAGGTCACCAAACGGCGCATCGCCTTCGGTGCGACGGCAGACTCAGAAGAGCAGCTCGATCAGAATGAGGGCCTAGTGAACCGCTTTCTTAGCTGGCTCAACAAAGGTAACTCGAGTGTCATTGATAACGTGTCAAAGATTATTTTCCCTACCACTTTTGGTGTGTTCAATATTATTTATTGGATGTACTACACTCGTGCACAAAAATGAGCATCTAAATATGCAAGCGCTGATATGACTATACAGTAGTAGACACCTATTGGACAATCAAAGAGTGTTCAAATGAATTATATTCCCAACTTTCGTAATAATGTTTCGTATGTCGTTATGCATAATCCCATGTTCGCTTTCAAAGCATAGCAAAGTAGGCAAGCAGATCGTTACATGTTATCATTAAATCCACTTTACATAACATACAAGCATTTTTAGTGTATAAATGCAGTTCATTTTCACATGCACCATCTTTTCGCAAAGTATCGTTGTTTCGATAAATAAGTGTGCGATGCCAAGTACAAGACATTTAATTATATTCGGAACCTTGTTTCGCGCCGTTTTGATTTCTAATGTGTTGTCGCATGGATCAGCAGAGCATAATAAACACCAGCAGTGAATGACTATACATCCAAGTGTTCCAGCCAAACCCAAAAGAGGGATGCAGCCCATAGTAATCATATTCCCTTCAGAGTACTGAATATATGAGGCTAAAAACAAAGTTTTATGCCATTAAAGAAGTTTCGTTTGGCAGTCATATATGTAGTGTAGCTATAGGGATGAGCGAAACATTCAACATAACATGATAATTCCTTGCTTTATTTTGCAATATTACAGCCCAACTTGTTTTGTTTTCATCACTGTTCGTTCCAAAAACAACTGCATGAACCATGTAATTGAATTCATATTAATTACATCTAATGGCTAAATATAGACGTAAACATGACGATTTCAACTGAGAAGTAGAAGTCATTCAGAAAGAAGACCGGCTGTTTCTTCATTTGCTAGAGGACGGCACAGAACGTTAGGTGATCTTCAGTATCACGGATACTTTCCTTGGCGCCTCTGAAATAAAACAACTCGTTAACATCAATCAATGATTGAGAACATGAAGTCAGTGTAAACAATAAGTCGAAGCCATTCTGTTACAAATGGTCCAAAATTGGAAAAAGCTTTTGTATCGCCAGAATTCGCCTCACATATAAAACGTCACTTGATCACGCAGCTGAACGCTGTGCGTTGAAACTCGATACCTTGATGTTGATTTTGGGCACATCAGCCTGGCCCACGCGATCGATCTTAGGGAGGTTCTGAAGAGGAGCTTGACGAGCCTCCACGCCATCCCGGATAGGCAGTTTTACCGGCACTGGTTTCAACGGCTCACTGAAAACGGTATGGTATTGGTTATTGGTGTAAAATCACGACTGTCATACCCAATTTAGATTTCAGGACCAAAAACCTGCAGTTACGCTTGTTCATCTCTAACAGCAACAGACAAGCATACAATCTTTTTACGCACACCTCAAGCTATCTGCATTTTTCTTGCCACTGGCATAGAGGAAGCAGCGACATTTGTATGGCGACCGAGCTATATGACCCACCCGGCACGCCTTTCTGACCTGAGAGGAGCCTCGTCAGCGGCCTCCGGGCTCGGCGACAGGATGGTGGCGTTCCACAGAATGTCGTTCAACACATCGATGATGACCGGCATCAGGTCAGTGCGCGTCTCGTTGACGATCACGTCCACCAGAATCGGCCCCAGGTCGTCGGCGAAGCCGTCAATCACAGTGGCCATGTCTTCGCTATTGAACAGGTTGTGCATCTGGACCTGGTAAAGGAGATATAGAACTTTATTATATTTGATCAAAAGTCCGGAGTAATGAATATAAAGATATAATAGAAAAGCTTGAGTATGTACTGTGAATGTTTAATTTGTTGTTATCAAAGGTTGATGAGTTGATGGATAGAATGGAAATCTAAGAATGTTTCCGCTTACGTCCAGAGTGTCGAAGTGGTAGTAGAAATCCAGATCGGTTATCTGGTAGTGGTCATGTCCGCCAGAAAAGTTTTGCTTCAGATCGGCATTGGCAGTCAGGACCATGCCTTCCATGGCAAAGCTGCAAACAATCATGACGTAAGACTTCGATTCAAGTTGGTAGATTGATCACAGTTCTAGTAATGACCTGTTGATATAATAGAAGTATTTTATTTACCAGTAAAACACGTTTTGGGCGAAGAACGAGCGAGCGAGATAGTGAGCCCTGCACGTGCGCAAGGGCGAGAGGGTACTTCCAACGGGCTTGTGCACAGCACCCTTCTAACCGGTCGCTAGCGGTGTGCCAAATTTGAACGCAATCGGCCCAGCCGTTCCTGAGATCTGGAAGCGGCATTCTGCACGTGCGCACGTGCATGCGGGGTCCAAACTGACTTTTGCACGGCACCCTACTAACTGGTCCCCAGCCGTGTACCAAATTTGAGCGCAATCGGCCCAGCCGTTCTCGAGATCTGGGAGCGCCCCCTGCACGTGCGCACGTGCTGTAGCACCCCAACCTTAACACATGCAGATGAATTATCTGATGGAGACCTAACTGTGTACCGAGTTTCAATTCAATCGGCCCAACCGTTGTGCCGTTATTGAGGTTGCAATTTTGGGGGTTCTTAAAAAATGTCCAACTTTACCACGCGCCACGTGCGGTGGTTGGCAAGAACGCATGGTGGCCATTACACCACAGAACTTTTACGTCCAAGTGACATTCAGTAAAGAAGACCGCTTGTCAATCGGATGTCCCGTTCCTAAGATATTAGCTTTTGAAGAGCGTCCCCACGGCCGGCCGGCCGGCCGGCCGGCCGCTCATACTCAGGATTTTCCCTTAATTCAGTATGAACTCGCTCGCTCGCTGCGCTCGCTCGCTCGTAACCACGAATATAACACCAGTAAAACGCCTTTTGGGCGAAGAACGAGCGAGCGAGATAGTGAGCCCTGCACGTGCGGAAAGGCGAGAGGGTACTTCCAACGGGCTTGTGCAAAGCACCCTTCTAACCGGTCGCTAGCGGTGTGCCAAATTTGAACGCAATCTGCCCAGCCGTTCCTGAGATCTGGAAGCGGCATTCTGCACGTGCGCACGTGCAAACGGGGTCCAAACTGACTTTTGCACGGCACCCTTCTAACCGGTCCCCAACCGTGTACCAAATTTGAGCGCAATCGGCCCAGCCGTCCTCGAGATCTGGGAGCACCCTCTGCACGTGCTCACGTGCAGTAGCACCCTAACCGCAACACATGGGAATGCATTGCCTGTTGGGTGCCTACCTGTATGCCAAGTTTCAGCGGAATCGCCCCAGTAATTACCGAGTTATTGAAATGGGAACAAATTTGGCACCTCTTATTGTTGTATTTTGCACGTGCACACGGTTGTTGTATTTTATTTTGCACACGGTCACTCACATAGATCAAGAGTATCCGACCTTTGGTAGAAGGGATGCAGCTACCCTACAAAAATTACCGCAAGACAATCACCCAAGCGGCTGCTGAGATATGGGCCTCTCAAAATTACTACTTTTGCAAAACAGCTTGAACACCCTTGACTTTTCACGTGGCACGTGCCACGACGATCACTGAGATGTATCAAAAGTAGTCAATTACGGGATAGAAGGGATGGGGTTACCCAGCAAAAAAAAAAAAAACCCGCAGGCCAATCGGTCCAGCGGTTGCTGAGATATAAGCCTCTCAAAAGCGTTACAGGCCGGGCCGGGCCGGGCCGCTCACACTGAGATTTTTCCGTTATTACGAGCGAGCGAGCGCAGCGAGCGAAGCGAAGTCTTTTCAATATAAGGGAAAAATCTCAGTATGAGCGGCCCGGCCCGGCCCGGCCCGGCCTGTAACGCTTTTGAGAGGCTTATATCTCAGCAACCGCTGGACCGATTGCCCTGCGGTCTTTTTTGCTGGGTAGCCCCATCCCTTCTACCCCGTAATTGACTACTTTTGATACATCTCAGTGACCGTCGTGGCACGTGCCACGTGAAAAGTCAAGGGTGTTCAAGCAGTTTTGCAAAAGTAGTGATTTTGAGAGGCCCATATCTCAGCAGCGGCTTGAACGATTGTCTTGCGGTACTTTTTATAGGGTAGCTGCATCCCTTCTACCAAAGGTCGGATACTCTTGATCTATGTGAGTGACCCCCGGTGCACGTGCAAAATACAACAATAAGAGGTGTCAAATTTGTTCCCATTTCAATAACTCGGTAATTACTGGGGCGATTTCGCTGAAACTTGGCATACAGGTAGGCACCCACCAGACAATGCATTCCCATGTGTTGCAGTTAGGGTGCTACTGCACGTGCGCACGTGCAGGGGGCGTTTCCAGATCTCGAGAACGGCTGGGCCGATTGCGCTCAAATTTGGTACACGGTTGGGGACCAGTTAGTAGGGTGCCGTGCAAAAGTCATTTTGGACCCCGTTTGCACGTGCGCACGTGCAGAATGCCGCTTCCAGATCTCAGGAACGGCTGGGCCGATTTCGTTCAAATTTGGCACACCGCTAGCGACCGGTTAGAAGGGTGCATTGCGCAAGCCCATTGGAAGCACCCTCTCGCCCTTCCGCACGTGCAGGGCTCACTATCTCGCTCGCTCGTTCTTCGCCCAAAAGGCGTTTTACTGGTTACGAGCGAGCGAGCGCAGCGAGCGAAGAGAGTCTTTTCTATATAACGGAAAAAATCTCAGTATGAGCGGCGCGGCCCGGCCCGGCCCGGCCCGGCCTGTAACGCTTTTGAGAGGCTTATATCTCAGCAACCGCTGGACCGATCGGCCTGCGGTCTTTTTTGCTGGGTAGCCCCATCCCTTCTACCCCGTAATTGACTACTTTCGATACATCTCAGTGACCGTCGTGGCACGTGCCACGTGAAAAGTCAAGGGTGTTCAAGCTGTTTTGCAAAAGTAGTGATTTTGAGAGGCCCATATCTCAGCAGCCGCTTGGGCGATTGCCTTGCGGTAATTTTTGTAGGGTAGCTGCATCCCTTCTTCCAAAGGTCGGATACTCTTGATCTATGTGAGTGACCCCCAGTGCACGTGCAAAATACAACAATAAGAGGTGCCAAATTCGTTCCCATTTCAATAACTCGGTAATTACTGGGGCGATTTCGCTGAAACTTGGCATACAGGTAGGCACCCACCAGGCAATGCATTCCCATGTGTTGCGGTTAGGGTGCTACTGCACGTGCGCACGTGCAGGGGGCGCTCCCAGATCTCGAGAACGGCTGGGCCGATTGCGCTCAAATTTGGTACACGGTTGGGAACCAGTAAGTAGGGTGCCGTGCAAAAGTCAGTTTAGACCCCGTTTACACGTGCGCACGTCAGAATGCCGCTTATCTCAGGAACGGCTGGGCCGATTGCGTTCAAATTTGGCACACCACTAGCGACCGGTTAGAAAGGTGCTTTGCAAAAGCCCGTTGGAAGTACCCTCTCGCCTTTCCGCACGTGCAGGGCTCACTATCTCGCTCGCTCGTTCTTCGCCCAAAAGGCGCTTTACTGGTATTGAAAAGACTCGCTTCGCTCGCTGCGCTCACTCGCTCGTAATCATCCACAGCCGTTTTTACGAGCGAGCGAGCGCAGCGAGCGAAGAGAGTCTTTTCAATATAACGGAAAAATCTCAGTATGAGCGGCCCGGCCCGGCCCGGCCTGTAACGCTTTTGAGAGGCTTATATCTCAGCAACCGCTGGACCGAATGGCCTGCGGTCTTTTTTGCTGGGTAGCCCCATCCCTTCTACCCCGTAATTGACTACTTTTGATACATCTCAGTGACCGTCGTGGCACGTGGCACGTGAAAAGTCAAGGGTGTTCAAGCAGTTTTGCAAAAGTTATGATTTTGAGAGGCCCATATCTCAGTAGCGGCTTGAGCGATTGTCTTGCGGTCATTTTTATAGTGTAGCTGCATCCCTTCTACCAAAGGTCGGATACTCTTGATCTATGTGAGTGACCCCCACTGCACGTGCAAAATACAACAACAAGAGGTGCCAAATTTGTTCCCATTTCAGTAACTCAGTAATTACTGGGGCGATTTCGCTGAAACTTGGCATACAGGTAGGCACCCACCAGGCAATGCATTCCCATGTGTTGCGGTTAGGGTGCTACTGCACGTGCGCACGTGCAGGGGGCGTTTCCAGATCTCGAGAACGGCTGGGCCGATTGCGCTCAAATTTGGTACACGGTTGGGGACCGGTTAGTAGGGTGCCGTGCAAAAGTCATTTTGAACCCCGTTTGCACGTGCGCACGTGCAGAATGCCGCTTCCAGATATCAGGAACGGCTGGGCCGATTGCGTTCAAATTTGGCACACCGCTAGCGACCGGTTAGAAGGGTGCTTTGCACAAGCCCGTTGGAAGTACCCTCTCGCCCTTCTGCACGTGCAGGGCTCACTATCTCGCTCGCTCGTTCTTCGCCCAAAAGGCGTTTTACTGGTACTATTTTATTGTAATAGCCAAGGGGAGAGGGGTGGTGGGGGGGGGGGGGGCTGACGGGGTACAGTCGTAAAATGTATAGGATTAAATTAAAGGATTAGGTAGTATATAGGATACATTAACCCTCGCATGTGTAGGGGGGGGGGTCGGATGGACCCCCCCCCATGGTTTTTCGCGAATAACTCGCGTAAAAAGCGGCCGATCGCGACGAAACTTTCAGTACCCTCGCATTGATCAATTTTACACCTACCCTGAAAATTTCATGACCCTGACCCAAATGACCTTTGACCTTTGACCTCTTTTCCGAGACCATGTTTGGCCGGAATCGCGATTTCGCGTATGTCGGCTCGCACTAGCCGCGTGTTTGCAAGCTTTTCGTGGTTTCAAACGTTCCAACATGTGATTTGATGTTACTCCCGTGTGTGTCAAGGTCACCTGAAGGTCAGGTCAGGTCATTGACCTTTGGTGACCTCGGGTGACCTCGGGTCACTTTTTCGAGTTTTACATGTTTCTAGGCTAGTTTTTGGAGCTGAATTCGAATTTAGCAACCATTTGAACATTTACGAAGTAGTTTTGGTGACTTCGTAACATGTTACGAAGCTGTCAGAGGCGGTTGACACGTACTACGAATACCCGTCACGACGCCTACTGGTTGACCTGACCTGACCTGACCCGACCTGGTCTAAATGCTTCAAGACATCATCTGTGATCAAAACTAACACGATATTCGTGATCAGCACCCCGAAAAACCCCTTAGCAGCCACACTTTACGACTTTCTAATAGGTCTCGATTTTCCCGACTTTGGGTCATTGACCTGACCTGGAAGGTCAACCAATGACCTAGGACCTTAAAATTGGGTATGATCGGCTTCCTCTCGTCACGGGCAACACGCTCGTTTTTTCCGCGAAGCTCTAGCTCGATCAGGGGCCAAACGGCAAGGGGGGGGTCCAACCGACCCCCCCCCCTACACATTAGAAGCTGGCAAACGCCGCACACATGCGAGGGTTAAGGTTCGAAGAACACGACGTGTGGTGATGTAAGATTTTGCTGAAAGACAAACGACTGATATCATAGACGGGGCAAAAAAATCTGCCATTCGGAGTTAACATCGGTTTATTTCAATTAAACCTTCCCTAATTTTAGCCAAATTCCTCTAATCCTACTGGATATAGTTATATTAATTAGGCAAAACCGAAACTCTATTGTTTAACTTAGTTAAGTTTGTTCATTGAATCATCCCCAAGCACACGTCCAATGATGAATGAAGTCATAGTACAAAAAAAGCCCGAAAGGAATGGAGTAATCCGACTACAATTATACCACGGAATGCAAACACGGTGCCGCCGCGCCCGGCCCGGAGTGACCCGTGACTGACCTGGCGGGGCCGGCGCCGTACAGAGGAAAGAGGTCACCGATGACGCTGCCGCTGCCGAAGGCATAGTTACACTCCAGGCTGAGGGTGGGCAGACTCAGAGCCAGGTCCAGCTTCAGGGTAAGCATGTTCACGTGGATGTTGTCGATGACGAACGTTGACAGATCGTGCAGGAGGGCTTCGGTGATGTTCAGGTGGATGCTGCGAGCGAAAGAGGCGGCGACGTGAGGCGATGCTAAAGAGCACGAAACTCTTGGCCGATAGATCCTGCACAGTTGTTTTAGGGCTTGTGTCACGATCACGTATAAGATTAAAACGTCTACACGATTTAAGATTAGCATGCAATGTAAAAATATTGATTTACACCTATGCTAGCGGCATATTTTCGTCGGTGTAGGTAAATGATCGAAATGTGCTCATTTGTTGTAGCCACATACGCATGCCGGGATGAGATCGGCGAATAGTGGCCATTTTACCTTTGTAAATTGAAACACCTTTGGTGTTCTTCACTTTCTTTAAATCAAACACAACTCTATAATTTTCATTTTGTGGAAATTGATTCTGATGCCAATGGAAAACCACCATATATGTAAACTTACGTAAGGAGTCCCGGCACATCCAGGTTGAATGGGATGTCGGGAATGGGCTGCGGCTCGCTCAGGGAGTCTCTGAACGCCTCCAGAAGAGCGACGATGAGCTCATCGATGGGTCCGCCGACGGCCGGCGGCGCTGTGCAGCCGCGCAGTGGACACTCAGGTCAGTGAGAAATAGGGCTTCAACTGGATTATTGTTGCATTATCTATATTTATTGGTTAACATTGCATTAAAGTTATTGGTTAATCACTGTTCTGCGAATATTTATTATTGAGAATTTTCAACAGAATGTAATGAATGAGAGTTAGCATGCGTGAAAAGACAAAGATGTGCTGAATATGGGCTGTCTTGACGGGAAAACTGAAAAGGCCATACTTGGAAAAGGCTAAATAGAAAATAAACTAATTGAAAATAAAGAAATAGAAAATATAAAAATAGAAAAGAAAACAGTACATTTATAAATGGTTCGGACCATATCATATGGAATAGTTCATGCCGAAGCCAGTGCCAGCAAGACAGTAAACGTTACCGTGCTGTTACTCACAGCTCTTGGGCGCCCCGACACATTGTGTCACCAGAAGACACACCGTCAGTGCCTTCAGCAGCATCTGAGCGGAACGAGCACAGTACGTGAGGCATTGCGATGTGAAACCGTTCGAAACAGCGTGACTGTCACCGACAGAACTTAATCGGAATCGGTGGCTGGAAGTCTGCACCAAAAAGGAAAGAAGATAAATGGAATGCTTGTGACCTTTTCACAAAAGCAAAAACATGCATCTGAATGTACACCGCAAACCATGAGATGAGCCCTTTTCTCAAAAGAAAGCAGCAATTTCGACCACATATTGCTGAGTTACTAAGCACGATCAGACGCTGATATGACATCACTTTGCAACGAGAAAAGTTCACTGGTCTCCAGCCTTATTCCCGCAGTACACATTCAGATACCCTCCCCAGCCGAACTCTACCTTGGCGAGCTGTGATTGCCTTGTCGCAGCTCTGACAGGCCTGCGTCCCCACCAGCGATGCCCCGGCGACTGGTCCCCGGGCCCGTGGGCTGACTGGCGCCCGCATATCTGTGAGACAGCTCACACATGGTAGGTTCACAGGAGCCCCGCCCTGTTATAACGCCCTCATTTCACAGGAGCACCCACGTCGTTTTTAAGGTGTGGCTGTATTTTATGTTTCTAAATGGATGCGGAAGAGAGAAAAAGAACAAGTGGTGTGTATGTACAAGTGGTGTGTATCTTCATGCTGTGTGGCTACTGGCTACTGAACCTAAGCGGTCAAAACGTGAATTACCCATGCGTACATAAATGTAAAAATTCGTACCTGAAGTCTATATTTCCTGTATTAGTTTTAAACCTCGCATGTGTGCGGCGTTTGCCAGCTTCTAATGTGTGTGGGGGGGGGGGGGGGTCGGTTGGACCCCCCTTGCCGTTTGGCCCCTGATCGAGCTAGAGCTTCGCAAAAAAACGAGCGTGCTGCCCGTGATGAGAGGAAGCCGATGATACCCAATTTTAAGGTCCTAGGTCATTGGGTGACCTTCCAGGTCAGGTCAATGACCCAAAGTCGGGAAAATCGGGACCTGTTAGAAAGTCGTAAAGTGTGGCTGCTAAGGGGTTTTTCGGGGTGCTGATCACGAACATCGTGTTTAGTTTTTATTACAGATGATGTCTTTAAGCATTTAGACCAGGTCGGGTCAGGTCAGGTCAGGTCAACCAGTAGGCATCGTGACGGGTATTCGTAGTACGTGTCAACCGCCTCTGACAGCTTCGTAACATGTTACGAAGGCACCAAAACTACTTCGTAAATGTTCAAATGGTTGCTAAATTCGAATTCAGCTCCAAAAAACTAGCCTAGAAACATGTACAGCTCGAAAAAGTGAACCGAGGTCACCCGAGGTCACCGAAGGTCAATGACCTGACCTGCCCTTCAGGTGACCTTGACACCCACCCTAATGCATGGAAGCAACATCAAATCACATGTTTGAACGTTTGAAACCACGAAAAGCTTGCAAACGCGCGGCTAATGCGAGCCGACATACGCCGAATCGCGATTCCGGCCAAACATGGTCTCGGAAAAGAGGTCACAGGTCAAAGGTCATTTAGGTCAGAGTCATGAAATTTTCAGGGTAGGTGTAAAATTAATCAATGTGAGGGTACTGAAAGTTTCGTCGCGATCGGCCGCTTTTTACGCGAGTTATTCGCGAAAAAACATGGGGGGTCCATCCGACCCCCCCCCTACACATGCGAGGGTTAAGGCTCAATAAAAGTTTTTTTTTTTGCTCTTGTGAAAGGAGGAAGAAAGGCATAGCTATTGAGATTACACTTTCTGTTTTTTGTCTCCTGGGCAAGTTTGAAAGTTGCAAAAAATCTATTAACGATTGATGTGCCGCGAGTTTTTCATTTTATGTCATTCACAACTTTTTAACAATTTGCAAACCAGAAAAGCCCAGGCCAGTAAACATCGTATCCATAGCATCTTTCGACTATCCCCGAATGTGGTCTTTCGGCGGGGGACAGCCAGCTAGCGTCTGTTGTTTCTCACGCTATCGGGCGTGTGTATCTCGCCTCTCCCGCTGGCCTGTGCGGACAGCACTGGGCTCAGGGACAGGGACGTGGGTAGCGGCGCCCAGCGGAGCAGGTGACGCTCTCAGTGACCTTGGAGCCCGAGTTTGCAGAGGCTAAACGGCCCAGGACACGTTTTGATAAGAGTTGTTTGGATATTCCTACTTTATATATTTCCGCATCAGATCTGCGTAATTTTACACTACAGACACGGTTAGTCGTGGATGCAAAAGTAATTCGAAGATATGGTTTTGAAAACGTCATATTTAATGTGAATTAGTAGGTAAGAGACGATTTTTCACGTATACCTAACACATCAGGTCAAGTGTAGTGTCTCGGCATTTGTAAGAATTTGCATAAGTAACGTTTGTAAAAAAGTTAACATGCCATGCACAATGCACATCCTGGATACGAGACTTCCTGATCTATTTTTTTTTGCGATTTTTGCTACGTTATTGAGCTCAAGCATATCATGTAAATTTTCCTCTGGTGTTGAAGATAAGAGACGCATGAGAACGACACACATGGCTGGCCCCTAGAGACGGCACATGGCTCAATGTCACTTCACAAAGCTGCTGCTGATACTTTAGTGGCGCAGAAGCTACCATCGGAGTCACACATTTGCTGCTCAAAGGTACGCTTGGTTTTGCTGTTTAATTTACATCTCCACGTTTTTAGTTTCCTTCTTGGACTTTATCATACGAAGCCCAGAGCTGGTTGACTTAGGTATGTCATTTGGTACTTATCATCAAAACATAGCCGTTGCTGTTTGTAGGTCTAGTTGTAACTGACGCCTTTCCCAACATAATTACAAGATATTTGTATTCCGTGAGCTTCAATGTTGGAGGGATATTCTACTTATATTTCTGCATTATTCTTATCTGATTCAACGGTGGGAAGATTATTTATATGCACATGTTAAGCTTATATCATTTGATAAACTGATGCAACAATTTTGCAGATGCTGCTCCGGGTTTTTTTGACGTGCCTTTTGGTGTCCCAGTCTGTTAGTGGGCTACCGAAATTGGCCTCCGTTCAGGCTGGTAAGTGGTAAGGTTCAAACGCATATTCCGTGAAGCGGCTCCCATAGCGATGGCTATTACCAGGCACTATGAGCAGGTCCGCGGGTTTTTAAAATGGCTTCATCGTAGATCGATTTAGTTTCTGAGATATAACCGGAAATGTAAAAGTGCAAAACCTACCGCTTAATCTCGCGAGAGCCGTGCGCATAAAAATAGCATTTTCTCTTGCTATCGAGTTAGATTGATAAAATGACTGACCTTCGTGTCACAATGCTCTAGTGTTGTATCATAAAACTATATGATAAATAAGTGTTGCCTTTATTTCTAATGTAATCAATGGACATTTCTTAACAAATGGAAAAGCGCAGAGGTCACCTTTTCCACATTGCAATCGGGCTATAAGTGACTGATTATATAGGACTTAATAAAGAGCTTCATCTAAGTTATATGTGATATCGCATACATGCGATATCACCCCGACGATTATAAGCATGGTATTGCTATCTAAAGCACGCGGTAAATTGCCATTCCTGTTGCGATGGGTTCCTGCAGCGGCGGCGCGGTCGTCCAGTGACGCTGCCGTCTCGGGACCGATTGACGACCTGCTGATTGCCCTGCTGGAGCAGCTGAGGAGCCTCCTTCCCGAGCCGCTGCCGCTGGGAGACCTGGCCATCGACGTCGACTCACCGTCCACGATGTGAGACTGCGGCCTATAGAATCTCTATTGGACACTATGGATTGTCCCTTAATGTTTGCATGGTTTACTTGATGGACCACATTATGTACAATTGAACCCTTGCATGGCATTGTTCAATGGAAAAGATGAATCGCTCAATGTTATAGCATGCAAAATTCATAATCGCTCCATCCATGTGAGTTCCGTCAACATGGTTACACACGGCTAATGGCTGTTAAGATGTTAAAATGATAATTGCGCCATTTGATGATGTTCTTTATGATCGCTGTCCTCGAATCACCGCCTCTAAAAGTAACCAACTTCACTTCGCAGCATCCACGCCAACATCACTGATGCCGTGCTGCACAACCTCTCGACGTTCATCATCGACAACGTGCACGTGAACATGTTCACCCTGAAGGCTGCCGTCGCCCTGAGCCTGCCGACGCTGAGCCTGGACTGCAACTACTACATCGACAGCAGGAGCGTGCTCGCCGAGCTGTTCCCGCTCTACGGAGGAGGCCCGTGCAGGTCTGCCACCTATCGTAATGTCAGCCTTACGCAATAACGTACGCAACAGCTTTGGATGCAAGTGATATCGAATCAATGCTAATTCATCACCATAGTTCTTTTGGAGAAATTATCCATTAAAAGAAACATCATGCGATGAATTTAGGCGGTTTTTGCGTTGTTTTGACAAAGGTTTTTATCATTCATCATTGTATCCGATCCCTCGAAGTGACTAACCACCTCGCGCTTCTGGCAGCGTGGCTCTGGGAAATTTGGCCGCCTCCGTCGACGCTGACCTGAAACACAACCGATCCGACGGCAGCGACCACTACCAGATCGAGGCGCTCGACTTCAATCTGCACTTTGACACTCTGGACGTGAGCCATGATAAAACGCCGCATGCAATGATAGTTTTAATGCCGATTGGCCTCTCGTTTTATTTTAGTTTGTCATTAGAATAGAGCAATCATTTTCATAAGAAAAGGCAATCATTTTGACCATACTGCGGTATATTTTCCCCTCGTTGGGCAAGGGGTTTAAATGAATATCGGGAATTCATTTAAGCCCTGTACGTCAAATCTTTGTGACCACCGTTTAATTCTTATATTGCTAAGCCGCCGCACCCGATTACAGATCCAGATCCACAACCTGTTCGACAACGACGAGCTGGCCACTGTGATTGACGAGTTTGCCGATGACTTTGGCCCGCTGCTGGTGGATATTTTGGTCAACGACACCCGTCGCGACCTGTTGCCGACCATCATTGACGAGCTGAACGACCTGCTCTGGAACGCGTCGCTGCCCCTCGCTGAGACTCCGGCCGTCAAACACTTCCAGCGCTGGACCAGGTGGTAATATTTTTCCCTACGATTTCAATCAATGAATATATTGATGCATAGGATGAAATGATAGAAATGATAAGGTGTTAAATGCAGGGTGCAGAGCCGGAGCCGGAGCCGCCGGAGCCGGCACATTTTTGCCCGGAGCGGGAGCCGGAGACGGAGCCGCCATGACATTTCACCGGAGCCAGAGCCGGAGCCGAAGCTGTCTGAAATTTCCACGGCTCCGCATCCCTGGTTAAATGTAAATGACGAAAATGCAATAAATATCGCGTGTTTTGCTCGGTTTGTGTATTATGGTGTTGCTGATATTCGAGTTGTGATGGCGTTCATGTTTTTTCCAATAGGACGGCCCCGTCGACAAACGTGCTCAAGCTGACCAGCTCAGCCAACGCCAACTCCTTCTTCGACAACATCATCCCGAACCTGCAGACGTTCATCGTCACCAACAGCCTGGACCCGATGCCGCTGCCGGAGATGGATGCTGAGGTATATACGACCGTCAGCATACTTTTCTTGTAATTCAGTTCGCTAGTTAAGCCCGTTTGATTACATAAGTTATGCCGTTAATTTAGATCAACTCAGCATCTACATATTTAATCTCGCCAACTACTAACTAGTAACGAGGTTATTTCTTTGTAATTGTTTTTACAAAGCTTATTTTCTTTAAAAAGTTTATAAAAAAAAAACTTTCTAAGAGGCTGCAACAAAATTTGCACTAAGTGCACAAATCCAAAATCACTCATTCCTTGCATATATTGGCAAATATGCAACACATTTTTGCCTCTACATGTCCACTTTGCTACCAGAAGAACTTTCCACGCATGCCAATCTCATTATTGGTTCCACCCCACCAGATCCTGGGAAATACCGGCGTGAAGCTGTATAACGGCTTTGTGAACGGCCTGTCGTCTGTTCACCGCACGGCCGACGCCCACCTGGTCTACGACGAGGTCGAGTGGCTGTCAGTGGACGGCGGGCTCGGCTTCGACGAGCTGGTGGCCGGCTACAGCCTCAAGATCGAGGTGTTCGGCATCGGACCGCATGTCTCGGCCGAGATCCATCTAACCGGGACGAAGGCCGAGTTCCAGGCGCAGATCTCCTCTCAGGACCTGGCTATCGAGCTAGGAAAGCTGCGAGTCTCCGACATCGGGTAAGAAGCGTTGAAATACAGTAGCATAAGATAATCCAAGAAACATCACTAGAGAAATGGTTAACACGTCATGCTTTCACGTTTAACGTTCCGTTTATTTATTGTTTCCATGGGTGTAACTAGTAGACAAACAAACCGATAACTTTGTTGCAATTTGTTGAACGCTTCCCCTCATATCATTTCCACACTGTTTCAGGAGTATCAGGGTGATCATCCACGGTCTGAGCCTGTTCGGGTGGCTCATTGACCCCATCATCGACCTCATCATCAACCTGTTCCGGGGCCCGATCGCCGACGCCATATCGGACGCCATGTTCAGTGCCGTCAACGACATGCTCTCAGAAATCGACCTCCTGGCCATGCTGGAAAACCTCTAAATGATGACAGGATGGCAGGACCGTGATGAATCACATGTGAAGATTTCGACAATAAGTGCAGTACATTTATAATCATATATGATTTGTCTAGTTATTTACTATTCATGCTTGCCAAGATACGTTGTCCAGGAAATGAAATGCATTGATATTTGGTGTGTTAAATGATATTTAGATACGTCCCGACCAAGAAAACCAAAATAAGACCATCCCGAGGACTATGAACTGAAAAGATGGCGCTAACATGGACTAAGCGACCACCCAGTTTGTGCTCAGCCGCGCGGGTCAGCCCGTCCTGAACGTCGAGCTACGGAGCCGCGGCACTGTCGCCCAGATGTGAGCCTTTTCTGTCGTTCACCGGGGACCGTATAAGCCGGAACAAAGAATGGTGATACAAATGGGAAAAGGGCACGTCCTCAAGTTAAAGAAGATAGATTTAGTGATTGAAAAAATATGTCTGTTAGCGTTAGCGCCACTCTCGGAATAAATCGGATATAAATTATGCCAGTTACCCAGAGCTTCAAGATCTGAATTAGATGAGTAGATCACAGAGGACAAAGTCCTGCCTAAATCTAATAACGTTATACCTAACTAAATGACAGCAATTTATGGTAGCATTTTATGTTGCATACTTTTGTCGTACCATTCGTAAGCTCATAAGCTCGTAAGCTCGTAAGCTCATTCGTAAGCTCGTAGGTACAGTTGAAAAAAAAACTGCACAGCACGTGTAAGCGATGCTATGGAGAGATGGGGGATGGGAAAGAGGGAGATGGAGGGTGGGGCGAGGAGACGGATGTCAGGCTTGCGGGAGGTCACCCACGGAACATTCGGCCTTTCCCACGAGCTCACGTGGCTGATTTCTCACGCGACGAGGAGTGCTAACCTTGTCTGGCTAACAAGTTATACAATACGCAGTCACCTGAGTCGGTGTAAGCTTTACAAATTTGTAAATGTGATTCATCACAATATTCGTGAGTAAACTAGGCAAGTTATAATTTTGCTTGTTGACGGCAAGCTTTCCATCTGAATTTTCCTTCTAAGAAATTACATATTTTTGTTAATGAAACCATGACAACGGACAATTGTAAACAGTTCATTTTGCAATCCTTTTTCAATTTTCTTCTGAGCAGCGACATATTTAGCGAAATTTATTAGCGAGCTGGGGTGGGTCATGTAATAAAATGAATACTGGGGGTCAGCATGTGATTGATGATGATGATCAGCTATGTGATTCATCACAATATTCGTGAGTAAACTAGGTAAGTTATAATTTTGCTTGTTGACGGCAAGCTTTCCATCTGAGTTTTCCTTCTAAGAAATTACATATTTTGGTTAATGAAACCATGACAACGGACAATTGTAAACAGTTCATTTTGCAATCCTTTTTCAATTTTCTTCTGAGCAGCGACATATTTAGCGAAATTTATTAGCGAGCTGGGGTGGGCCATGTAATAAAATGAATACTGGGGGTAGGGGCAATAAGAAAACAAATATTGCCCTCTTTGACGTCACTGTATCCTTCGGGCGAATACTTCAACAAGCATAATTGCCCTCCGCTAGGCCTCGGGCAGTAAAACTTGTTTCGGTCTTCACCCTCGGGTTACAATGACGTCACATCGGGCAACATTTTCATATTTGCTTGCCACCCCACACAGTTTTCAATCATGGACCATTTCTTTCCAGCCATTGTCAGACATTTATGAGCAACGACGCATATTTTAAGGGACCAATTGAACAGTGGTCTACCGGTTCCACCAAGCTATTTTCTTTTTTTTTAACCTTAACAGTCCGTTTGCAGTACCACCGTCACACTCTTTGAACCGAAAATTGCCTCATAAATGTACAAAGAGGGAGTATATTTGAACTATACATAGAAGGCGTTACTGCTGCTGCAGTACATACGGGCATGGCAGGGGTGGCACATATAAATACGTGGTTTCACAGTACACTTATGAGCTACTGGGTAACGATACGGTCATTTACTGAAACGATGGAACTCCGTAAAGCAAAACAGCTTTTGTAACCGATATGTAGTGTAGACAGCTTACCAGAGACGACGTAAGACCGCAGAACGATTACAAAGTAAAACCAGATGCGATTCATGTGAAGATTACAGCAATACCTCATATCTATTCCGGAAATAATGTGACTGAGGGCCGTCAACGCACACATAAGTCCGTCAGAAATCGTACAAAATCTATACGTTCCTACACGCATATAGTTCTGATCGGCTAGAGGGCTCGAATATCATTCGGGCACTGATCTCATAGCGGCCATAAATATCGTGCCACAATAGGTACATGGAACATACAACATCACAACACGGAACATTGTGGATAAGCAAGTCATCTCTCTCCACGACACAGGTGAATGACAAAATGCGCCGATTTCTCCCACTTTATCCAGAATGCCACAATGCGCAGGCTGACACAACTGTCGACCAGATAGGCCTAATTCAGGCCTTTCAAATACGTATGTCACCTGCCACATGCAGGGATGATATCAAACCCTTTCGACTTAGGGTACTAACGATATGGCACAATATCGAATAGGTTAAATGTCAGTCAACGCTGTTGGTCTGGACAAATTATCGTCCGATTTCCACTGTGGATCGTCATTTCTTAGGTAAAGGAGTGACTTCAAAAGCAGTAGCGGCGGAACACCTTCAATTAAGGGGGGGGGGCACTGCCGACTTTTGGTCCCATCCTTTCCATGAAACGCCCATAGGGCTAACGTTAAAATGCCAAAATCAAAGGGGGCACGGTGCCCCGGTGCCCTCCCCGTTCCGCCGCCTATGCTTCAAAGAGCGTGACTGGTTGAACGTTGATACAGCTTTGATTGAAAACAATTATTACATTACAAGACCACTGCTTTCCAAGCATGAATCAACTCAGGAGGATGTACTTAAAAACTGTTTCATTTGTAAAATAATAGGAGATTCTCCAATACGCAAACGCCTTATTTTCGGATTGATACGTATGAGCTGTAAAAAACACAACCTTCGATGATACAAATAATTACGCAACACCACCGAGAACATAGCCGACTTGACTAAGACGCCTCCAGAGTACTTACCCTCCTTTCCTAGGCCATAGTTGCATCGTTGGCACCTTACACAGCTCACACATGACTACTAAACAACCAAATATCTCCAATGTTAGAGAAACTCTCCGTAAAACACACCGAACCCACCGGAAGAAGTAGAAACATCTCACTCCACTTGACGTCATTCTACCGATACTGGTGGAATGCAGTTACACAGAGTCGGGTTTGTATTTGTAGGCGCGTTTCCAGATCTCGCACAGACAGACGGTGCAGTGGAAGCGGTAGAATATGGCCAGAGGCATGGACACGTGGCTGATGATGGTCCACGCCCAGAAGCCGAAGAAGTGCAGCTGCTTAGGGTGGGCGTCCGAGCGCGAGGTCTCGAACGTGTTGATGCACCACATGGCCAAGTTGCAGATGAGGAGGAACGTTACCACCTCTCTCCCGGGCTTGTGCCGCACCTGAGGGGAAGGGAGAACAGCCTTAAAACGAGCGAACACCTGCTGGCAAAAGTGCGAACTATAGGAGAGCGTTTTTCTAATGCATGCCATGGATGATGGTCGGATCGATAAGATTGAAAAAAAACGCATCAAAGTACAATTATTTCTATGTTTTCTTAGTAGCAGACAAATATGAGAAATGTTATTTAGGCATGGCTAATATAGACTTTTGATGAATATGTTCATTTAGAATTCTCACCTGACTACTCCGGCTGGCCTGGCGGCATGAGGCGTCCAAAATGAACATCGTCTGCATCGTCACCTGAAAAATGACACATCGGTATGTCATTCAAGAGCAAAGGAAACAGCGTGGGAGGTAAATAAAAGCTCTTCATTATATTGGCATAGCCCAGCTTCATAAAGCTTTTTTACACCTTTGCCTTAACCCGCGCCCCACTGGGGGGGGGGGCTATTTATAGCCCCCCTCCCGTTTTTCTGCAATAACTTCCAAACCGCTTGACGAATCGACGCCAAACTTTCAGTACCTTCGGCTGCATCAATTTGACACCTTGTGTCAAAATTTGAACTTCGTAGCTACCATAGGTCGGCCGGAAATGACGTCAGAGTGACGTCATGTTCGTCCGATTTCGACGCAAAACATTGAACCACGGCAATCGCTCCCAAGAGCTCAGTTTTTAAGCTAGATCCAATTTCTTTGCATGAAAGGACTCAAAATTGACCGCCCTATCAAACTGCTATCTCGGATTTTCAAAATTTTGAAAATTTTGAAAATTTGATATAATAATATTCAAAATTTATATTTTTATATTTTTTTTCAAAAAGTTTTTGACTTTTCGAAAAAAACCAGAATATATGTGACAGAACGCATGATTATGACTAACTCTAGCAAGTTTTAGCTAAATATCTTCAAAAATGGCCAAGTTATACGCATTATTGCAAAAAATTCACAATTATTAATTTTTCAAATCAATTTTTCAGTACGTATTTGGCATCGTGCACCAATATAAATGGCACCATCGTGTTCCTGAGCTCAAACTGCATCCAATAGACACCTTTTTTGTTGAAAAATTTCAACTTCAAAATTTGACCTTTTTTGACCTGAAAGTGACCTGACCTAAGCTAATTTCGACTCAAAATGACCTTGAATGGCACAGACGACATCAAATTCGAACTCTATGGCCTAAATGGACCATAAAACATGTGTCACGTGACCGACGCATGATATAATATTTTCGTGACCTGTGATGACCTGACCCTGACCTGAAAATCAAAGTACAAGTTTGGTACCCTCAAGGTATCTAGAGCATCTGTTCACGAGTGTGGAAACCAAAAATGAGCCTGATCTGACTTGTAAGACGGCGGCCAGAGCCCAAAATGTGAACAAGCCAAAGTGCTAATAATTTTTACTTTGACCTGACCTGTGACGTCATCGGTGACCTCGAGGTCAATGAAATTAGGTTTCGCTCGACAGTTTTTCCGGGGCTATCAGACGCCGTTTGAATTTTGACGATCGGCCCAGTAGTTTCGGAGTTAGGAGGGGGGCTATGAATAGCCCCCCCCCCCCCCCCCCCAGTAGGGCGTGTTATACACAGACCCCAGTGGGGCGCGGGTTAACCTGGCGCATAGCGGGATTCTTCTTGAGACATCTAGCCGATGCAATGAGAACTTGATTGTCATGCGGTACAGCATCATTCAGGCGTTTGACGGCAGAGACATCTAGGGAGAGAATGTGAACTACGCCGATGCCTCTCTCGCTCGCTCTCGCTCTCTCTCTCTCTCTCTCTCTCTCTCTCTCTCTCTCTCTCTCTCTCTCTCTCTCTCTCTCTCTCTCTCTCTCTCTCTCTCTCTCTCTCTCTCTCTCTCTCTCTCTCTCTCTCTCTCTCTCTCTCTCTCTCTCTCTCTCTCTCTCTCTCTCTCTCTCTCTCTCTCTCTCTCTCTCTCTCTCTCTCTCTCTCTCTCTCTCTCTCTCTGTCTTTCTCTCTCATTAAAAGGCATTCATAGGTCGGTCATCTGACAACTTACACTAAAAATTGAAGATACAGGCTTCGATACAGATGTGAAAATAAGTGTGCAATGTTGCACATAACTAACTATAAAGCAACTAACTACAGGTCGATGCAAGTAAACGACAGGTTTGGCACGACGAAAGTGAACTGCAATTTTACGTTGCACAATGCAACACAAAGCATGCTTTATAGCCACATAAGAACGCAAAAATATGCACATACATCATATGAATATGCACTTGTGCCTTCTTCTTATTACACTAAACGTCTGACCTCAAGCTGTTACGTTACATAACTTATTTGACTTCATAGCTACTTTACCATATGTATAAATTCTACCATGCGTCAGCGTCTATTGGCGGACATATGCTTGTTTTATATACCATGGACACTGGACAGGCGGTCGGACAGGCTCGTTATAGCCCTCGGGCGAAGACTTCAACAAGCATTATTGTCCTCAGCTACGCCGCGTGCAATAAAGCATGTTTTGGTCTTCACCCGTGTCATGTCTTTAGCACCCCGAGCCGACAGTTCTCACATCGCCTGTCTCACCTGTATCTAGCTCACCTGGTTCACCTGTGCCCGCACCTCACCTGCACTATGGACATGATGCCGGTGATGACCTGGTTCACCTGCCACACCTCACCTGCACTATGGACATGATGCCGGTGATGAGCTGGTAGAGGTCGCCAGAGAAGTGCGAGCCGATGATGTTGAAGGAGGCGTACAGGTAGACGCCCGTCTGCGCCACCACCAGCAGGATGTTATCCAACTCGATGTTTCGCTCAGAATCGTACCTGAAAAATACGAGTCATTAGTGTCTGCAATTTAGCAATTGAGCGGTATAACTCGGTCGCTTTCACTGTGCTCGACTATTCCCACAGGAGCAGTTGGTAACGTAACCACCAGCCTGATCCAAGCAAACAAGGCTGAGTCGCTGTGTCTGTAACATCCCTACTATAGCCTCTCCGCTCTCTGAGCGAACTAGCCTGAGTTGCTGTGTCTGTATCATCCCTACTAGCCTCTCCACTTTCCTCACGAACCCACCTGAGTCGCTGGATCTGTATCATGCCGACCAGCGTGGCCAGGACGGTGACGCTGTACAGCACCAGCTCCGTCATGCTGGCACTCATGATAGCCACCGAGCGAGTGGCACCGTTGTTGATGAGCACGAAGAATAGAATCAGAGAGATGACCGAGGCGACGAACACCAGTATTCCCAGAAACAGACCCTTGGAAGCCCTGGAAGTGCAGAATGGTAAGCGTGTTTTGGCAGCCGATGCTACGGTGAATGTTTGACGGCAGTAAAGCGACAGCAACACATTCAACAGCGTGGAAAGTAGGCATTGCTTATTCATAAGTGGACGTCGCATCATTAAGTATTCAGAACGAAGCACATTGCTAAAATGTTTTCCATTAACAGCGCCTTCTTATGAATTAAAGTAAAACTTGGCTCGCAAGTTTAACGTGCGATTCTAAAGACATGAAATGTAAATTAATATATCTTAGGGATTGACGTAGGAAAGTAAACAGCTTTAACTGTATGCTTCCTCACATAAACTTGTGCTTCTCCATGGAACATCACGGCTCTGCAGTGTTCATTTCAACATATAGCTCAATTTAGCTAAGTGTTTGACTTGTGGGACAGTCGCGTTACTTTATGGGTTTCTGTTTGATAGAGGTCACGATTGACCTTTCAAAGCGTCATCATCAGATCAATAACATCCAGGACCTATAACAATGCTCCCCTGCTTATTGCTCACTTACAAATACCAACCGTCTAAAAACAAAACGATCACGACTTCTTTGAATGAACTTACCTTGCACAATCGACTGAATACTGATGTTTCTTCAGCTTATCGGTCACCACCGAGAGGCTGAGGTCGGGCACCACACAGACCGTGTTCAGCTTGTTGAGGTTCTTCCACATGACGTAAAGCGTGGCCGCGCAGATGAGCGAGTACTCGATGGTGCAGGGGAAGAGGAACGGCGCCGCCGAGTTCACCAGCTGACCCATGATGTCGGAGCGCATACACTTGGTGAGCGAGGTGCCGTCCAGGGTCGTCCTGAAGTGACCCAGGTCCTCCAGCAGTGTGGCCGTCTCGGAGCTCACTTCAGCGCTCTCGGAGGACGAGGACAACGCTGGAAAACGAGCAGGCGTCGGTTATGGAGAGACCCTATGGGAATTGAAGAAAAAAATCATTGCACGGAAAATGTACTGCATTACAGACTAAGCAGAGTGCATCTTCTTCAGGCTCGCAGCGTTCTTTTCTTTTAATGGGACTGTACTCAAAACTATAATTCATAAATTCATAATTTATGTTATGAATAATTAATTAAAATTAATATAATGAATACAATAAAACTACGCTCTTCGTTCGAAATCACCAAAGTAAATAAATAAGTAAATGAATGAATGAATCAATCAATCAATCAAATACCACGACAATCGTCGCCACCCACTTACACTCATTGCTGTCATCCAGACCCCCGGGAATTCGCAGTGAGTCGGCATCATGATCCAGCTTGTGCAGCAGGTGCACCAGCTCGTGCTTCGTCTCCTCAATCACCACGTTTAGCCAGACACAGAGGTTGGTGCCCACCATGTGCATCAGGCCGAACCGCGCCACCAGCTTGTGCTGGTTCACACACATCTGTAGAGCAGAGAAATTAACGGGTGTTAGTGCGAAACAAATGGCTCTAAACGAGGAGCAAGTGAAGGTTACAAGGTGATGAAACGCTTCACTGAAAAGGGAACGTCCGAAAGACAGCAATGGGTGTTTGGGGAAGGCAGATCAATACGCGTGTCGTTGAAGGAAATGAACTGGCTTGTTTTTCTCGAGTTGTTATGTTCGGAACTCACCGCCTCTGAAGAAGAAAATAGCGTTTCAAACTACGCCACTTGACTGCAAAGCAGAAAGTGCGTTTATGGGCGCAATAAGTTCACGCTAGCTGTGTTTTTTTTTTTTCAAGCTCAACTTTGCTGCCCTACAAAAAGGTTTCTTTGTCGGCTATGTCATAGATCGTGAACTTACACGAGACTCAGAAAGTAAGTTGTCGCCGAGACTAACCTTACTTTAACTTCCTGAATATAAACGTACACATTATGCATATCACCTTCCTACTTACACTGGCGTTGAGGAAAATGAAGTACATCTGGACAAAAGTGAAGGCAAGCCGTAGTCCGGGAGTAACCACCACCAGAATGTTGGTGCACTCGTCCAGGGCAGGCATCTCGAAATACTGACCCATCGAGAGACCACAGTAGATCATACTGCCGATTCCAAACACTGTAGGCAAACAGCAGGGTCAAGGAGCCGATCACAACAAATAAAGTCAAGTTCCGCTGTGACTAGAAAGCGATACCATCGCACAGTGAATGCAGGGAAAAGTCGTAGCGTCTAAAAATCGTTGAACAAGCTAAATTCACATGAATTTGAAGGACGGACGAGTTAGGGCATTCAGATAGCGAACTGCACACTGCACAGGCCATTCAAGACGATCCTTTTAAATCTGCTGGATTAGAAATTAGAAAGTCACTTGGTTAGAAAGTGAATATTTCAAAGCAGTTTTCCCTTGTTTACCACTGTCTTACTCACGGACAGCTCCCATGCGGAGGTAGAAGCTGCCGTAGTTGGCCACCAACACCTGGTACGGTTTTCTCTGAGAGGCGCGGCTGGTCTGACTGATGGAGTCCAGGTCACGGCCCAGCTTGTCTCGCTGTGAAGCCTCCGGGCGCAGCAGTCGGTCTGTAAGAAACATCGAACAGTTCTCGAGCCATTCTCGGTATATATGACCATCGGTTGCCAGCTCAATCAGTTCATCGTGGGCTAAATATTGCAGCGCGCATACGAGTTTGTCTGCAAAGGGTGAACAATATTATTTGTTACATGCAATTAAAAAAACGAATAAGGTATTTCGCTCAATCCCATTTATCCCTGCATAATTACTTCACTGAGTCGCATTTGTCCTTGCATGCCACTGGAAATACCGACGGCAGAATGGACACCTTCATAGCATTGTCATTTGTCACTATGCAACAGGTGTTGTTATATGAAGTCGTGCACAAGTCTATCTAAAACGTAATGCAGTGGAAGATCGTGAATGAAAGGTCTAATAAAGTAGGTCGAGCGGAACAAATGATGGGGAAATACAGTGCAAAACAGCATGCCTTCGGCACTACAGTAATGACATACATTGTGTTTAAACATTAATTTGCGTTAAATCATTCGTTTCATGCTCCACTGCTCTACAAATAATATATCAACCGACATTGCACAAAGAACATCTATTGTATTAGGAAGAGAGATCACTAGGAATGCTGATTCAACACTACATCAACAAAGACAAATTGTCAAAACTAGCCTTTGCGTGACTTATCACCGCTTTTCTTTGTAACCCGTCGACCACTCGGGCCTGGCAAAATGACATAGAGCAAAACATTAGGAATACCATGGGTGGCATAAATCAGGTGTTACACTCTGCATTTCAGGAGAGAGAAGAGCAATGTCATCCAATTCACCTATTGACAAAGTCTGAGCACGTAACAAAGGAACCTTTTCTTTATGAGCGGAATGTCCTGTCTTATTAAAACAAAAACTGAGGCATCGTCATTTCATCGTTAATTAACCCGCGCGGGGCTGGGGGGGGGTAAATTTTACCCCCCCTCGCGAATTTTTGCGATATCTCAAAAACGGCGGCGCGCAGCGCCGCCAAACTTTCAGTACCTTTTCTTACATCAATTTGACACGTTCCCTGAAAATTTGAGCGAAATCAGTCGGAAAATTTTTGAGAAATTGACGTTTTAGTGACGTCATGTTCGCCATTTTCGCCTCAAAAACGGCAAAAGTTCAAACGCCGCTAACATCTTCATTTTTAAAGGAATCAAGACGTAACAAAAAAGGTTATACGTAATTTTACTTTGTCTATCAAATGGCTATCTCGGTTTTTTGAAAATTTTGGATTTTGGCCTAAATTTTTTCAAAAAACTGATTTTTTTGGGAAAATCATTATAAAATCCAAAATTTTGAGTCTATCGAAAAAACCGGAATATATGTCAGAGAAGTGGTCTATGTGCACCCACATACCAAATTTTAGAAGAATCGGTTCAAAAATGTGGGAGTTATTCAAAATTTTATGACGTCACGACACACAAAATTTTCGAAAAATGACTTTTTTGGAAGTTCTAGACCTCGTACGGAAACAAAAATAGCACCATTCGATTCGCCGTGAAAAACTGCATCAGATAGACACCTTTTTAGGCCTTAACAACCAACTTCAAAATTTGACCTCACTTGACCTGACCTTGACCTGACCTCGACCTGAAATTCATCCAGAGGTGGTCCATATCACTTATTGAGTGAGCCTATTGAATTCTATGAGTAAAATGACCCATAAAACATGTGTCGCACATGCCCTTTTCTATATTTTGTTTTTTGGTGACCTGACCTGACCTGACCTGACCTTGACCTTGACCTCTGAATGATATTGTATGCAACGAATATTGTATTGGTAGCCTAAGAACACGTTTTGGGCGATCAGTCTCAGTCCATGACTCCATTCTTCGGCAACTACGGTGCAAGGCCGATACTGTAGAAACTTGCAATTTGTACCCTTGACCTGACCTTGACCTTGACCTCAAACTTTAAATTAAGTACATGTTTTTAGTAGTTCGTGATGAGAGCTTTCGATTGGCGTTTGAATTTTCCAAATCGGACCATTAGTTCGGGAGATAACAGGGGGGGTAAAATTTACCCCCCCCCCAGCCCCGCGCGTTCGGCTGGAGACCCCAGCCCCGCGCGGGTTAATACTTGACTGTACAGTGTATGCACAGTGTACACTGTGGGTACAGAACAGGTTCATACCACTTTACAACTGAACACGATCACCAAAGTGACGAAATGTTAATGACACTCGTCCTTGCGGTCGTGACTTACTGAGCCTAGAGACGCTGGCACTGGAGAGCTTGGACAGCTTTGAAGAGCCCGGCGACGATGAGGACCCGGACAGGTCTCGCATGAGGAACATGTACACGTACAACAGGAACAGAATGCTGACGCTGTACAAGAATATGTAGAATGCCTGAAACAGATGTGTGGTAGAGAGCACAGTAAGAGCGATGGGCATGTCCGTGCTGACCGCCTATTAGCGTAACAATGTCCAATATCACGTCCAAACTTCGTAACGAACAGAAAACCAACGCAAATCGCAACCAGAGAAGTAGCTGGATGTCATCAAGGCTCACATTTACCCAATTCGGGTATTTCTGACAAATGATGACAAAGCTATAGGGATAGCTTCAAGTGTAGGTATACGACACATAGACAAATCCTGCTGACGTTAAGAACAATTGAAGCAGCGACAGGGGCCGGACTTCGACTCACATTGTAATAGAACGGCGGTATTTCCGGCGATATGACCTCGGAGAGGGGGAAGGCGAGACCGATCACCACCAGCAGCTTACAGTAGAGCGCACTCAGCACCAGCATCAGCGACTCACTGCCGGTGAGAAAATAACAGTGAATTGGCCTGTCCCGTAGCTCACTTGGTAGAGCACCGGACTAGTGAGAGGCCTGGTTCGAGTCGCTCCGGCGTTCGATATTTGAGACTCCTGACGGGGATGGTCTGCGGTTGGTGGGAGCAGCCGCAGCCAGTTAAAGTCAGTTGAGTGGGACAGGTCGTGTCCGGCTTTGAAGGGCACGTTGAACCTTGGCATCTAAATTCTCCCGTCATCCGGAATTGCGCGATCCGGTGGTAGGAGTCGGGGTCTACGCAACAAGCTCTGTTTAGCGTGGGCCTCGGCTCTGTCGATCCGTCCATTCAAACATTCGAGCTAAATTTATTTCAAAAAAAAAAAAAAATTAAGAGCAGAAAAACGTGAATCAGCTTCAACCCTGTCAACCGGCTGCATTAGTCGGCTAGGATACCACTGAGCGTAGTCTGTAAACAAAAACGAATCGGGGGAGGGGCTTTCGGATATTTTCGTCGTTTGGAAACATGACAACTGCCCCACCTGATGTAAAATCGAGACAGTCGGTCTCTCAGCCACTCGCAATTTGCACTGTCTGCATTGCTTGCAATTCCGTCCTCCGCGAACTCCTCCTCCTTCTCCTGTTGCTGCTCCTGATCTATCTCCTCATCCAGAGTGAAGAGGACGGCCGGCTCCCCCTCGCCCCCGACCCTTAGTTTCCAGGGGCGTGGCGGCGTGGCCGGCGGGGTAAAGGTTACACTGGGCGGCCGATGACGTGGACTGCTGTCGCCCATGATAGGCACAGTTGGAGGTGGTTCTATTTCAATTTGGAATAAAGAACAACAAAATAAGCAAGTATTGGTGGTTGGATTCAATGATTCATGCGAAACTGAGCTCTAGCTTGTAGCTTAGCTTAGCTGTTGAGGTTAAAAAGATTAAAATATTTCCAAGAATAAGAAAAGCGTTGGTTCCTGAAGTTTGGATCTTTTGTTTCTTCTCCACTCGTCAATTGAATAAAATGTTCCGTTTTACTCTTCAATGCTCGATTTTCTCAGCTTAGCAAAATAATTCACTCTTCACTTCACGATTTTCCTTCACCACCAGTCACCCCAACCTTGCCGCACTTGTCTGGCCTCCGTAGCGTCCACCCAATCCTTCACAAGCACGGCCGCCGCCAGCCGCTCGAACCAACTGCCCCACACAACCGCTCGGCAGGCTCCACACGAGAGCGACGGTTGGTTCGCCTGTTCACAGCCGATCTCCGAAGGGATCACGTCCAATCAGACCCACTTCCCCTCCCTAAACGACCTGCTTCCTGTGTCGAACTGACCTTAGGTTATGCTCCATCGATGTCACGCTTGCAATGCAGGATGTTGCGACAGATTAATTATTAACTAGGCGTTTGGTAATTTTTGTCGGCACTGGCGCTTGAAATGGCTGTCCATAAACACAACAAATAAGTATTCGGCAGTGTGGGGTTATTTTGTCGGCTCGAGTCGCACCAACAGCACAGAGTCTGCATGGTGTAAGACGCGCATTTAGACGATTGGCTCGAGCCCAGTTGAATGCACCAATGCTGGCAGCGCTAGGAGTTTGGCGACGGTTGCTGGCACTGATTGGAATCCTAGCAATGTGTCCCATAACACACTACTGTGGCTGGTAAACTTCGAGAAGGTCGTATTTTCGCGAATTGCTATAAGAAGTCCGACTTGTGTTAAAACCACGGATAAGTCATTGTGACCAGCCTTATGTTCGAGGCACCCTAAAGTCCCAATTAACTAACAATCACACAGCATGCCTTTATCCAATGGGTTCAATTATTTCAGTGCATAACTAAATCGTCTTAAAATAATAATGCAAAATTAGTCTACATACAGGGGCCAATAAAATACGCCAGCTTATAGGCAATTGTAAAAATATCGTCGGTTAGGGGCAGTGTCACATTTGAAAGTTCACAAACTTATAAAGATAAGTTGGCTTTCTCGACTTAAATTTCCGAATTTACCGTTTGTAAATCATATGGCCCAAATAGTGTGACTTCTAACCCGCATCAAAAGGTTTCGCTTCTGGCACTTATCTTAATCAGGAACTGAACATTGGTAGGCATTTTTTAATGTTCCGTGTAACTACTTCATATTCCTAACGCCTTTATTGTAATATCAACGATACCCACCAGCTCTGTTGTTTCATGCTTTTGGTGTGCACCGACGCCAGGTCATTGTCGTCGTCCAGACAGGGCGCGATCTCGTCCAGGTCGTCCGAGTCGCCGTCCGCGCAGCTGGCCAGAAACTCCTCCGTGGCGTGACTGCGATCAATAAAACACCGTCAGACTCACCGGCCACGCCGGCCAAACGCGATGAGCTGCACGTAAACGGATCGTGAATAATAGAGCTACGGCACAAGCGCCAGGAAGTCATGTCCAAATGACACAGCAGTAGAAAACAAACTACACAGTCGTAGCGTCCACTGTCGTAAGCACAACCTAATTACCAAATGACAGTTAATTGCTACAATATTTGGATATAAATCTTACCTGTCACGACGGTCAGTGTGCATGATGGAGACGGGGACTCGCGGCGGTCCGGGCGGCGGTCCTGGTCCTGGTCCTGGTCCCAGCCCCGGTCCCGGTCCCTCGGCCAGGGCGCGGCCCTGCGAGGGACCGGGGGCCGGTGAGGGGGCCGGTGCCGGCGGCGATGGCGGTGGGTACGCGGGGGCTGTCACCTCCACCCGCTCGGGCGAGGTCCGGGAATGCAACTGAGGGAAGCTTCCCGACCTGGAAAATAGGACGGAGAGGTTTGTTAGTCTCTGTAACAGACCGACAATTGGTTTGAGTACACAGTATCATGACGCGTCTAATGGAGAAAAATTGTGTACGGGCATCCCTAAATCATAACAGTGCAAAGACATACAGTGATAAATACTCTTTTTTTTAAATAAATCATTGCCCTATATGATTTATTGGGTGCTAAGTTCATCCAGTCTCATGCCTTCGCAAATACCCTCAGTTTGTCCTCGTCTAGAATAGCGCAATGTTGGCGTGACCTTTGCCCATTTAATCCGGAAGGGCAGTCGGATCGAAGCAGTCATTTTAGCTGCAGACATACTAAAGGCAGCAGCACGCCTTGACGTAGGAAACCGTAAACGCCGCGATCAAACGATTGCACCCGACGACTCTTTGTAAACGTCATCGCGTACTATAAAACAGTAACAATGCACACTGCACAGTGATGTAAATAAGTAATTAGAGTAGAAGCGCTTTCAGCAAAGGAATGCAATTTGTTTAGTGGTTCAACTTCAGTGGGGTGGAAGCATGCGTGAATAAGCATATAATTATCGCAGAAGCTTCTCATGAATCGCATACAGAACAAATACCTAGTAACGTTTAACTGATAAAATAGTATTATCAAGAGTTGAAAGTTGAAACATAAACTGCAATATTTTCATACAATTTTTTGCATCTTTCAATTTCAATTAGATACGTCGGACACTTCATTACTTAGGACTATATGATACACAAGTCAAAAATATGTTAATATCATTAAGAATTGCACTAATAATTGTATTGACAAGCCGAATTTAACTAATACTTGTACAGGCATTAATTATGTACATTAGAATTAATAACTGTATGTATTTTATCAACTTTATGAGAAAAATATGCAGGTAAAATGTTTAAAATAGCTGAAAACGACCTACATTACACTATACAATACCGTCATTTTTTTTTTGTTAATTTAGTCCGAACCTTTTGATGGGAAGGATTCACAAGGACAGAGCCACCGCTAAGCGAAGCTTGTTGCGGTGACCCTGCCCTCTACCCTCCGATCGCGCAATTCCAGTTCTATGGCAGAATTTAGAGTCCAAAGTTTAACGTGCGTACATAGCCGCGCACGGCCGGTCCCCTCACTGACTTCACCTGGCTACGGCCTGCCACCAACTGCAACCATACCTGTCAGGAGGCCCATAAATGTCAAGCGCCCGTCGCGCTTCGAACCCGGACTGTTGTAACCGGGAACGCGTGCTCTCACCACGCGGAGTCCAACGCTCTACCAACTGAGCTACGGGACCGGCTTATTTTAACAAATAAGTTTACGGTTAATTTTCATTACGATGCACAGAGCTGAGTTATTAAAGATTAAAACGAAACCTGATGGTGCTATATGCAATGCGCGTGGTAAAGCGACTCACTTACATCGATAATTTCCTTTTTAACCTGCGCATTGAGGCGTCTCGTAGACTTTGCAGACCTTTTAGCTCACTTCAGTAGGCCTAAATACACCTTGCTTATCATGGACTTTTACGGAAATATAGAGACTGCGTCTATACACGATCTAGCCCGACTCCACTATTGCGTTACGATCAGCTTGCCTCACAGTCTCTGCGCGACACTCTCAGCACCACACCGCTAAGCACCATGCCCCGTCCCGCCGTTTGGCAACACTGCTCAGCCGTCACCAACCCGCACCAATTGAGAGAGCGGGGGGAGAGGTGACCCGGGGGGGGGGGGGGGTTGAGAACGCGGACGGCAGTCGTTCATCACACCCTATCGAAGCCCGACCGACATCGCCATTAAGCTATGGCAGTCGATACAGGATGACAATCGACGGCTCGGGAACGAACTAGGAGGTCGAGCTCTGATCTACGGGCGCCATGTTGAAAGAGAGATCACCACCTGTGTAGATCATCAGTTTTTCACGATAAACGCCGACAGAATTTCTAACTAGTCAGATCATACAAGCTCCATTAACTTCCCCCCCCCTTACCCCCACCCCAAAGAACACTGACGGTTCAAGCAGTGATAAACGTAAAAAACTTCAGAGAGAAAAAGTTCAAGGCTATAAACATCTCACTACATTTAAATTTGCTCAGACAGCTGACAGTTCCAATGGCGCATACGTTTTTTCAATAAACCTTTACATTTTACCCTAAAAAGATAATCGCGATGCATTGTTGAAAGCTGAGACGGTGGAGCTTCCGTGTAAAGCTGCCCCAACTGAGCGGAAGTCCTACGACGGAAGTCTGAATCCCCGGCGGGCTGTCGAGAAGTAGCCATACAAGGACCTCGCGGGGAACTGATTCACAACACTAAGCAGGTGTTGGCCTACAAACCAGCCTCCAGCACGCACTCTCTGCCCCACGCGGAAGTGTTTTGGGATTAAAATATCGTTTCAATGTGTCAAATGGCAGGAGTTAGGAATTTACAAAAAGTTGCCTTCATTTCCGATGAAAGGAATTTACAAAAAGTTGCCTTCATTTCCGATGAACTTCAACCAAATCTCATGCTCAATCAAATGCGTGTTGTATTTGTCTCTCAGTTTAATATAAGACGTGCATAAGATGAAATAAATAAGAGCACAGAACGTAGAGGTAGCGGAATATGTTTCATCGGCATAGTTATCGTAAGACAACTTTAGTGTCCACCGCCGTATCCGCCGCCATATCCACCGCCGTATCCGCCGCCGTTTCCACCGTATCCACCGCCGTTTCCACCGTGTCCACCGCCGTTTCCACCGTATCCACCGCCGTTTCCACCGCCGTTTCCACCGTATCCGCCGTTTCCACCGCCGTGTCCGCCGTGCGAGGCGTATCCCGAGTAGGTCACCTCGGCGTTGTGTCCGCCGTAGCCGTACTGGTCCGAGTGGTACTTGACGTGCTGGGTGCGGCCGTCCGGCAGCGCCACGCTGTAGTAGCCCTGGGCCGCCTTGCCGTCGTTGCTCTCGCTGTGGGAGAACTTGGGGCCGTAGTGCGGGTCGTCGACGCCGTAGGAGAACTTGTAGGAGGTGGGCACGCTGTGGTCGCCGCCATAACCGCCTCCGTGCCCGACTCCGTGCCCGCCTCCGTGCCCGCCTCCGTGTCCGCCTCCGTGCCCGCCTCCGTGCCCGCCTCCGTGTCCGCCTCCGGCGCTGACGGCGGCCACCAGGAGCGATGCGATCACCAGCACCTTCATACTGCTGCTGAGCTGTGGCTACACTGCTGTGGACGCTGGGTGGACTGGTGGTCTGACCGCTGGCCGTCTCCGTTATATACGGCTGGGTTCGGGGCTGGTGCCGGGGGCAGCCGAGGGTGACCGGTCTTAACTGGGCAGTTCAGTTCCTCACGACTGGAGTATAGTCGTGTCACGTCTAACAATTAGTTGTTCATGGAGTGTCTAGAAGGGAAGCATGAGCGTACTAGACGGTAGACAGTTAGACACTGCATTTGAAAATGCTTTCGATTGCATAACTTTTTAACGAGCAAACGAGAAATGCGAGGTTAAATAGAAGAAAAACTCAGCAATAGTGGCCGGACGCGTTCGGGCCCCGTGGCGCCTTTCAAGACTTCTACATGTCTCGATGCACCGGCTCGACCAATCGTCAGGCGGTGTGCTACGTCAGATAGTTCCATTTGTTCTAACGGTCGCTTTTATATTCTTATCGAGAACGTCTGGGCTGTCTGTGCTAAAAAAAATCGTTTCGTTGAATACCTGTTATAAGAGTGGACTGCAAAAGTCAGTTGGGGCCTCGCTACATTTGTGCACGTGCATAGACCGCCCTCTACATCTGAAGAACGGCTGGGCCGATTGCGCTTAAGGAAAGCACTCTATGAGAGACCGACTACATAAGCTGACCCGCATAATCAGACGATGATCCCACTTTGCATTTAGCCACGTGCAGGGCTCACAATTGCGATCACAATCAATTGCAATCTTAGGCACCAAATTGTCGTTTTTAGTTCTAAAGAAGACCATAAGGAAACCAGATGAAGTGAACCTGACATCTCACGGTGTAAGGCGATAGCCTCTAATTGATCAACCACACATACCACGTGAATTTCACCAATAAAATGATCAGAAAAAGCAAGCAAGCTGGCAGCACGCTGCTAAAGAAGAAGAAGAAAAAACGACCGAAGAGCGCCCATGCCTATGCTGTTTCCACACAACCCTCCAGTGTCGCCCGATCACAAGTCACGTCGTTTTCAAAGTCATTGTCGTCCTAACTCCTCATGCACAGTTACAGCAAATCGTGTAAACAGCTTATACTCCGCTAAAGCGAGCGTATCCTGACTTGCACTTCCTTGCCGGTCGTTCCAACTTCACGGCCACGACCGGAGACACGACAGCACCACCACTGACATCACGACCAGACGGTGACCCCAGGTGTCGACTGAGGCGTGCCCGAGGGACAACCCTCTCCCAGGGACACCCGGCGCCACCAAATGTGACACAGACGTGACCCGGCTGTACCCCAGTCGTGAGGGGAGCCCAGGTCAGCCCGGTCACCCTCGGCTGCCCCCATCACCAGCCCCGGACCAGCCGTATATAACGGAGACGGCCAGCGGTCAGACCACCAGTCCACCCAGCGTCCACAGCAGTGTAGCCACAGCTCAGTAGCAGTATGAAGGTGCTGGTGATCGCATCGCTCCTGGTGGCCGCCGTCAGCGCCGGAGGCGGGCACGGAGGCGGGCACGGAGGCGGGCACGGAGGCGGGCACGGAGGCGGGCACGGAGGCGGACACGGAGGCGGGCACGGAGGCGGGCACGGAGGCGGGCACGGAGTCGGCTATGGCGGCGACCACAGCGTGCCCACCTCCTACAAGTTCTCCTACGGCGTCGACGACCCGCACTACGGCCCCAAGTTCTCCCACAGCGAGAGCAACGACGGCAAGGCGGCCCAGGGCTACTACAGCGTGGCGCTGCCGGACGGCCGCACCCAGCACGTCAAGTACCACTCGGACCAGTACGGCTACGGCGGACACAACGCCGAGGTGACCTACTCGGGATACGCCTCGCACGGCGGAAACGGCGGTGGAAACGGTGGGCACGGCGGTGGACATGGTGGAAACAGCGGTGGATACGGTAGTGGGCACGGTGGAAATGGCGGTGGATACAGCGGTGGATACTAACGCTAGCGATCACCGTCTTTAAAATATCTGCATGATGAGCATCTGCGCTTTTAAATTTGAAATACTTTATATGGATGAATGTCGAAAAGGCAATAGTGGTGACTTCTTTGATTGCATGTTATGTGTGGAATATACAAAATATACGACATGTCGTATTTTCTTGACTAACCAAGAGCGTTTTTGATGTTCGATGTAATCATGGGCTCCCCCACGGCCTACATATAGGTCGATGATCTTTCACCAGACGTGTTCATGGAGCTGAGAGGTGGATCTACGATCTTAGTGGATCTTATATGATCTGAATGGATCTTTGATCTAATAGATCTATCGACAAACCAGAAACAGGGATCTATGTTCCAATTGGATCCCACACTGCGCAGCATTTCAAACCATGCTTGGAGGTGGTTCCATGTCAAAGAAAAATTCACAAAACAATAAAATACCTACTTCTGTGTCGAAAAATTGAGTACCCAAGGAGTTACGCTTTCAACATATCCCGATAAAAAAATGCATCTATGACTCCAATGGGTCTCTCGGCAAGCGAGAGAGCTGGATCTATGATCCCATCGGTTCTGAGATCAAGATCCGTGGGAGCAGATCTCAAACATCTTTTCTCTTTCTCGGATCCATGCACACGGCGTGTGAGGATAGAGGAAGGTACCATCATCTAGAAACTTGCCGAGTGTTTTAGCAACGATGTAAAAAACGAAGGTATATTTTTAAATTATTGAATGCTGAACTATTACGTTTTTTGATTAGGTATTTGACAACCAATTCAAGCCGGACGGTTTCATTCATCCGAGAAACAGCAATGGTTTGGTTGCTCTACATACTGAAATATGATGAAATACGTCAAGTGTTAAAGGAGATAAAAATTGCATGGCGGTTTTATATAATACTGAACGAGGCCGGTGTAAATAAATTTTCAAGACCGAGGTCCTTACTGGATTTTTGAACGAGGCCGAAGGCCGAGTTCAAAAATCAGTAAGGACTGAGGTCTTGAAAATTTATCACCGGCCGAGTTTGGTATGTATTTTACTGTATGCCAACGAAAAATTTATTTTCTGGACTGAAGCTCTTAGCCGACTTAGGAACGAGACCATCCCAAAATGTTGGCTTAAGTGCATTCTGGTAATACATTTTTGACCGTGGTCAATTTGCTTACACCAGTTATTACCACACCCCTCTGGCTAATGTATTTGAATAGGCCAGGCATACAGTAAATTCATAAATACAATTTTAGATAGCAATTAAAGCTATGTGTAATGTTGTTGAGCGCTTGTGCAAGGAACCGCACAAGCACTCAACAACAGTTTAAGTTAAACCAGTTTAGGTATCATATGACCTTTCCTCGTAAAATATAGATTACCAAAAAGGATAGGTATATTAATATAGATATTTCGATCACAGATATTCGTTGGAAAATTGCTAGCAAAAGAAAAGAGCAAAGCCGATAACTCTATTTTTAGCAATTCCGACGAAGATCTGTGATCGAAATATCAATATTAATATATCATTTTTGGTACTTTATATTTTACGAGGAAAGGTCATATATGATACTAAAACAATCAAAACTGGTTATCTGGTTATCTCCAATGACTTCAAACTGAATTTACCGTCCTTTCTATAGCCCGCACTGTAACGGTCTTCTGTAGTTATGTGAACTAACTACACAGAGAAGTGGATTAGGAGCCAAGTGATGGGAATACCTTACATAATAGACAGCTGATTGGTTGCACGGTTGTGAAGATATAACCAAGTATTTCAAAGCAAGATCCCTGATCGGATAGGGCCACCCTTACCGTCCCAATAAGCGTTTTTCTTAAAGATAAGACAAACGCACTTCTCACTTCCACGTTCTGAATAAGCAATAACTACTTACTTACTATTTCACCCGCGCCCCGCTGGGCTATTCAGCCATACGTGTCCTGCTGGGGGGGGGGGGGGGGCAGATTCTGCCCCCCTGTCTAACTTCCGAACCGATGGTCGTAGATAGACGGGGAAAACGGCAATCGAAAGCTCTCAACAAGGCGGATCTTAAGAGCCCGATTTTTTTTGCTTAAATAGGTCAGAGGTCAGGTCAAGGTCAGGTCAAGGGTACAAAATGCAAGTTTCTACAGTATCGGCCTTGCACCGTAGTTGCCGAAGAATGGACTGAGACTGATTGCCCAAAACGTGTTCTTAGACTACCAAGACAATGTTCATTGCATACAATGTCATTCAAAGGTCAAGGTCAAGGTCAGGTCAGGTCAGGTCACCAAAAACAAAATATAGAAAAGGGCATGTGCGACACATGTTTTATGGGTCATTTTACACATAGAATTCAATAGGCACACTCAATAAGTGATATGGACCACCTCTGGATGAATTTCAGGTCGAGGTCAGGTCAAGGTCAGGTCAAGTGAGGTCAAATTTTGAAGTTTGGTTGTTAAGGCCTAAAAAGGTGTCTATCTGATGCAGTTTTTTAACGGCGAATCAAATGGTGCTATTTTGGTTTCTGTACGAGGTCTAGAACTTAAAAAAAATCATTTTTCAAAATTTTTGTGTGTCGTAGCGTCATAAGATTTTGAATAACTCCCACATTTTTGAACCGATTCTTCTAAAAATTGGTATGTAGGTGCACATAGACCACTTCTCTGACACGTATTCCGGCTTTTCTGATACACTCAAAATTTTGGTTTTTTGTTTTTTTTTTTCACTCAGTTTTTGAAGAAAAAAATGGGCCAAAATCCAAAATTTTCAAAAACCGAGATCGCCATTTGATATACAAAGTAGAATCACGTATAACCTTTTTTGTTACGTATTGATTCCTTTAAAAATGAAGATGTTAGCGGCGTTTGAAATTTTGCTGTTTTTGAGGCGAAAATGGCGAACATGACGTCACTAAAACGTCAACTTCACAAAAAAATTTCCGACAGATTTCACTCAAATTTTCTGGGAACGTGTCAAATTGATGTATGATAAGGTACTGAAAGTTTGACGTCGCTGGCGTAACGCGTTTAGAAGTTATTGGCGAAAAACGGGAGGGGGGGCAGATTCTGCTCCCCCCAGCGGGGCACGGGCTAATTACGTAGAGTTGTCTATGCGCATGACAATCATTTTATCATGTTAAATATTACTCTGGCAGGTTTATTTTTTCCAAAAGAATTCGCGATTGACCTTACCTTAAAAACCCTTTCATATGATGTAGAGCGTTCTGTGTCATTTGCTGTGATTATTGAGGCCCGGTACCAACCCGGTACCCTTTAGAAACTTCACCTAAATCTGGAGCAAATTCACGTGGTGAGTGTCTCATCCAGCCCCCTCGACCGAGACGAAACATAGAAAGCCACCAGGTATTGCGAGACTTAACGTTTATTTCCACGCATGACGTGAGCAACAGCAGTCTGTATCCAATCCAAAACTGAGCCATTCATGCATGGAATATAACACGACATCCCGTCATGAGCTTGCTAATGACATTCTCTACGACAAGAGGAAGCTGTGCAGCGACTTTAGTATCCGCTGTCGTATCCACCACCGTTTCCACCATGTCCACCGCCGTATCCACCGCCGTTTCCGCCGTGTCCACCACCGTATCCACCACTGTTTCCACCGCCGTTTCCGCCGTGCGAGGCGTATCCCGAGTAGGTCACCTCGGCGTTGTGTCCGCCGTAGCCGTACTGGTCCGAGTGGTACTTAACGTGCTGGGTGCGGCCGTCCGGCAGCGCCACGCTGTAGTAGCCCTGGGCCGCCTTGCCGTCGTTGCTCTCGCTGTGGGAGAACTTGGGGCCGTGGTGCGGGTCGTCGACGCCGTAGGAGAACTTGTAGGAGGTGGGCACGCTGTGGTCGCCGCCATACCCGCCTCCGTGCCCGCCTCCGTGTCCGCCTCCGTGTCCGCCTCCGTGCCCGCCTCCGTGCCCGCCTCCGGCGCTGACGGCGGCCACCAGGAGCGATGCGATCACCAGCACCTTCATACTGCTGCTGAGCTGTGGCTACACTGCTGTGGACGCTGGGTGGACTGGTGGTCTGACCACTGGCCGTCTCCGTTATATACGGCTGGGTTCGGGGCTGGTGATGGGGGCAGCCGAGGGTGACCGGGCTGACCCGGGCTCCCCTCACGACTGGGGACACAGCCAAGTCACGATGCATGCAGTACCGATCTTGACAGACATGAATATTTCAATATGGTTTAGTTTTGTTTAGTTTTAATAACAGACGACTAAGCAATAAATCGAAATGTTTTATAGGCTCAGAATGTTCGTATTGGCCTGTTGTTTTCAACACATAAAATCAGTGTGAAATACTTTAAACTTAAAAAATATATAGTTAGGATAGTTTGCAAAACATACCTGAACACACAAAAAGCATCGAGCGTGAAACATAGGGTTTTTGAGTCTCGCAGTCGCAGCACTGATACATGTCATAGTAACGCTATGGCTTATCACATGTTGATAGATAACCCGTGTTGCGAAGTTTGTTGAGTGAGCATTGTAACACCTGCTGTTTGCATTGGAACACGCACCAAATCACACAATAGTCCATCAACCGTAACACTTTTCCTCCCAAGGGCAGAGCATTGTCAGACGTGACCCGGCTGTGTACCCCAGTCGTGAGGGGAGCCCGGGTCAGCCCGGTCACCCTCGGCTGCCCCCGACACCAGCCCCGGACCAGCCGTATATAACGGAGAAGGCCAGCGGTCAGACCACCATTCCACACAGCGTCCACAGCAGTGTAGCCACAGCTCAGCAGCAGTATGAAGGTGCTGGTGATCGCATCGCTCCTGGTGGCCGCCGTCAGCGCCGGAGGCGGACACGGAGGCGGGCACGGAGGCGGACACGGAGGCGGACACGGAGGCGGACACGGAGGCGGACACGGAGGCGGGCACGGAGGCGGACACGGAGGCGGGCACGGAGGCGGACACGGAGGCGGGCACGGAGGCGGGCACGGAGGCGGGCACGGAGGCGGGCACGGAGGCGGACACGGAGGCGGACACGGAGGCGGGCACGGAGGCGGACACGGAGGCGGGCACGGAGGCGGGCACGGAGGCGGCTATGGCGGCGACCACAGCGTGCCCACCTCCTACAAGTTCTCCTACAGCGTCGACGACCCGCACTACGGCCCCAAGTTCTCCCACAGCGAGAGCAACGACGGCAAGGCGGCGCAGGGCTACTACAGCGTGGCGCTGCCGGACGGCCGCACCCAGCACGTCAAGTACCACTCGGACCAGTACGGCTACGGCGGACACAACGCCGAGGTGACCTACTCGGGATACGCCTCGCACGGCGGACACGGCGGTGGAAACGGTGGATACGGTGGTGGACACGGTGGAAACGGCGGTGGATACGGCGGTGGATACGGCGGTGGATACTAACGATAGCGATCACCGTCTTTAAAATATCAGCATGATGAGCATCTGCGCTTTAAATTTGAAATATTTTACATGGATGAATGTCGAAAAGGCAAAAGGGGGACCTCTTTGACTCTATGTTACGTGTGGAATATATAAAATATAAGACATGTCGTATTTTCTTGAGTGATCATGATCGTTTTTTATTGTTCGATGTAATCAGGGGCTCCCCCACGACCTATAGGTCGATGACCTTTCACCAAACGTGTTCATGGAGCTGAGAGGTGGATCTATGATCTTAGTGGTTCTTATATGATCTTAATGGATCTTTGATTTAATAAATCTATCGAAAAACCAGAAACAGGGATCTATGTACCAATGGGATCCCACAATGCGCAACATTTCAAACCATGTTTGGAGGTGGTTCCATGTCACACAAAACTTCAAAAAACAATAAAATACCTACTTATGTATCGAAAAATTGAATACCAAAGGAAATAACTATATTCTCAACATATCCCGATGCAAAAAAATGCATCTATGACTCCAGTGGGTCTCTCGGCAAGCGAGAGAGCTGGATCTATGATCCCAATGATTCTGAGATTAAGGTCCGTGGGAGTCAAATATATTTTCTCTTTCTCGGATCCATGCACACGGCGCATAGTAGAGAGGCTAATGGAAGGTACCGTACTCCGGTACCTATACTTGCTGCGTTTTTTCAGGGCCGTGAAAAAAGTTTTTTTTTGGAATTATTGAATGCTGAACTATTACGTTTTTTTATTTGACAATCAATTCAAGCCGGGCGGTTTCATCCGAGAAACAGTAATGGTTTGGCTGCTCTACATGCTGAAATATGAAGAAATACGTCAAGCGTCAAAGGAGATAAAAATTGCATGACTTTTCAATACCATTTTAACACTAATGGGAAGGTTTTACAAGAAATAGAATTTTAGATAACAATCAAAGCTTATCTGGTTATCTCCAATGACTTCAAACCGAATTTAACGTCCTTTTTATAGCCCGCTCTGTAACGGTCTTCTGTGGTTATGTGAACTAGCTACACAGAGTATTGGATTAGGAGCCATGTGATGGGCATACCTAACATAATAGACAGCTGATTGGTTGCACGGTTGTGAAGATATAACCAAGTCTTTCGAAGCAAGATCCCTGATCGGGCAGGGTCCGATCAGGGCCTTACCGTCCCGGTAAGGGTTTTTCTTAAAGATTAGACAAAAAAATATGGTCATGCGCATAGACAATGTCTATGCGTATGACAATAACTTTATTATGTTTAATATAACTCTGGCAAATTTATTTTTTCAAAAGGATTCGCGATTGACCTTACCTTAAACCTTTCCATATGACGTAGAGTGTTCTGTGTCATTTGCTGTGATTATTGAGGCCCGCGGTACCTTTAGAAACTTCACCTATCTCTGGAGCAAACTCACGTGGTGAGTGTCTCGCCCGGCCCCCTGGACCGAGACGAACTAAAGAAAACCATCAGGTATTGCGACATTTGCGAGTCTTATTCATTTCCACCTATGATATACGGTTGGTACGGGGCTGGTGATGGGGGCAGCCGAGGGTGACCGGGCTGACCCGGGCTCCTCTCACGACTGGGGTACAGCCGGGTCACGTTTCATGCCTTACCGATCCTGACAAACATGCATATTGCAATTTTTTTTTTGCTATATTTGAAGACCATAAACAATTATAAAGACATTGTTTTAGACATCATTAATCCGTAATATGATGCTGCTTAGAGAACGAGGGATCAGAAAAACAAATGTTTAATTAAAAAAAGCAAAATTGTAAGCATAGTTTGCAGAACTCACATACACTGGCGGATCCATGGGGGGAGGGGTCATTTGGGGCCAGTGCGCCCCCCCCGCCTTTTTATAATTTTGAGATTTTCTTAGGGGTCTTAAACCCCCCGCAGTGTGCAAGACCGCCTTTCTGGATCCGCCAGTGCTCACATAATAGGAAAACTTAGCATGAAATATCGGGGTTCATTTGAGCTAGTGATCCTGAGGCTTTCAATAGAAAGGGCATCGCTTATCACATGTTGCGAGATTAGCCGTGTTACGAGGTTACAGGTTTGCACTTTGCAGTGACTTCATTACACCTGCTGTTTGCATTGGAGCACGCACCAAATCACACCATAGTTCGTCAACCGTAACACTTTTCCCTCCAAGGGCAGAGCATTGTCAGACGTGACCCGGCTGTGTCCCAGTCGTGAGGGGAGCCCGGGTCAGCCCGGTCACCCTCGGCTGCCCTTATCACCAGCCCCGAACCCAGCCGTATATAATGGAGACGGCCAGCGGTCAGACCACCAGTCCACCCAGCGTCCACAGCAGTGTAGCCACAGCTCAGCAGCAGTATGAAGGTGCTGGTGATCGCATCGTTCCTGGTGGCCGCCGTCAGCGCCGGAGGCGGGCACGGAGGCGGGTACGGAGGCGGGCACGGAGGCGGACACGGAGGCGGACACGGAGGCGGGCACGGAGGCGGGCACGGAGGCGGGTATGGCGGCGACCACAGCGTGCCCACCTCCTACAAGTTCTCCTACGGCGTCGACGACCCGCACTACGGCCCCAAGTTCTCCCACAGCGAGAGCAACGACGGCAAGGCGGCCCAGGGCTACTACAGCGTGGCGCTGCCGGACGGCCGCACCCAGCACGTCAAGTACCACTCGGACCAGTACGGCTACGGCGGACACAACGCCGAGGTGACCTACTCGGGATACGCCTCGCACGGCGGAGGAAACGGCGGAAACGGCGGTGGATACGGTGGTGGACACGGTGGAAATGGCGGTGGATACAGCGGTGGATACTAACGCTAACGACACCGTCTTTAAAATATATGCATGATGAGCGTCTGTGCTTTACATTTGAAATATTTTAAAGGGGTGGATGTCGAAAAGGCAAAAGTGGTGACTTCTTTGATTGCATGTTATGTGTGAAATATACAAAATATACGACATGTCGTATTTTCTTGACTAACCAAGAACGTTTTTTGATGTTCGATGTAATCAAGGGCTCCCCCACGGCCTATAGGTCGATGATCTTTCACCAGACGTGTTAATGGAGCTTAGAGGTGGATCTACGATCTTAGTGGATCTTATATGATCTGAATGGATCTTTGATCTCATAGATCTATCGACAAACCAGAAACAGGGCTCTATGTTCCAATTGGATCCCACAATGCGCAGCCTTTCAAACCATGTTTGGAGGTGGTTCCATGTCAAAGAACAATTCACAAAACAATAAAATAACTACCTACTTCTTTGTCGAAAAAATGAGTACCCAAGGAGTTGTGCTCTCAACATATCCCGATGCAAAAAAAGCATCGATGACTCCAATGGGTCTCTCGGCAAGCGAGAGAGCTGGATCCATCTTCCCATCGGTTCTGAGATCAAGATCGGTGGGAGTAGATCTCAAATATCCTTTCTCTTTCTCGCATCCATGCACGGTATGGTAGAGTGAGGATAGATGAAAAAACCGTCATCTAGAAAACTCGCCGCGTTTTTTAGCAGCGATGTCAAAAGCAAAGTTTTTTTTTTTAATTATTGAATGCTAAACTATTATGTGTTTTATTATTTGACAATCAATTCAAGCCGGACGGTTTCATCCGAGAACCAGTTGGTTTGGTTGCTCTACATACTGAAATATGATTAAATACGTTAAGCGTCAAAGGAGATAAAAATTGCAGACTTTTCAATACCATTTAAATATTAATGGGGAGGTTTTACAAGAAATACAATGATAGATAACAGTCAAAGCGGGTTATCTGGTTATCTACAATGACTGCACATCGTTTTTATAGCCCGCTCTGTAACGTTCTTCTGTAGTTATGAGAGCTAATTACACAGAGTAGTGGATTCGGAGCCAAGTGATGGGCATCTAACATAATAGACAGTTCGCTGATTGGTTGTACGGTTGTGAAGATATAACCAAGTCTTTCAAAGCAAGATCCCTGATCAAGCAGGGCCACCCTTACCGTCCCGGTAAGGGGTTTTCTTAAAGATAAGACAAAAATATATTGTCATGCGCATAGACAATGTCTATGCGCATGACAATAATTTTATCATGTTCAATATTACTTTGGCAGATTTTTCTTTTTTTTCAAAAGGATTCGCGATTGACCTTACCTTAAACCTTTCCATATGACGTAGAGTGTTCTGTGTCATTTGCTGTGATTATTGAGGTCCGGTACCTAAACTTCACTTAAAGGTAGTGTGCCAGCTTTCTTGGACCATATGGAGTTAATGACCCGGATAAGGAGAACCGGATTTTTAGAACTTATCCATACCTTCAAAACTTATGGAAACGTCTTAAATTCTTCAAATTTTGAGTACCCCAGTGCGAAATTCGCCCCGACGGGTTGTCGGTCGTACCCCAACCACATTTCACACCACTATGAACAATAAATGCACACACTAAAATCGCTATTACCGATAGGCTCATCCAATCAAGTTTCGATAAACCCGTTCATCATCATCTCCTGCGGTTTCGAACACGCCTGTTAGGTGGCTTCTGATGCTCGTCGAGGTCGGAATTTCCAAATACGCGTGGTGCGTCGGGCCGCGCGCTCTGACTTCGGCCAAGAAAAATGCGTCAGCTGATCATTGTCATTTCTGCCACTTGCGTGTGGTGTAATGGGGTCATAACTTAAGAGACGGCTGTTTCATATCAATTATTTTACATAAAATCATATTTCAAACCACAAATTAATGTTCGACAGCCAAATTTAAGAAACAATACCAATACAGGCTTACAGTTTAAGGCTCGACATTGTGTTGTCTACGATTAGACAGCTGATAACTCATTCCCGTACGTCGTATGGTCGTAACACTATAATGACCTTTGCTTATTGTCACAAGTGCGCCGCATTCGCGATTGTTGCCCGACGCCTGTTTGCAGGTGAGCCCACTACAGTTGTTATACATATCTAAAAACCGATAAACTTTTAGGCGAAAAAGGCACTATTCCAGGCCCATTTTTGATTTTTTTTGCGATATTAGGTAAAAACAGAAGCTTCTTATCCTAGGAAAAATAAAACGGGAAATCTTTCAAAGGTGGCACACTACCTTTAACTCTGGAGCAAACTCACGTGGTGAGTGTCTCATCCGGCCCCCTGGACCGAGACGAACTAAAGAAAGCCATCAGGTATTGCGACATTTGCGAGTCTTATTTATTTCCACCCATGATGTGAGCAACAGTAGTCGGTATCCAAACTGAGCCATTCATGCATGGAATACAACACGACAACCCGTCATGAGCTCGCTAATGACATTCTCTACGACAAGAGGAAGCTGTGCAACGACTTTAGTATCCGCTGCCGTATCCACCGCCGTTTCCACCGTGCCCACCGCCGTTTCCACCGCCGTATCCGCCACCGTTTCCACCGTATCCACCGCCATTTCCACCGTGTCCGCCGCCGTATCCACCGCCGTTTCTGCCGTGTCCGCCGTTTCCTCCGCCGTGCGAGGCGTATCCCGAGTAGGTCACCTCGGCGTTGTGTCCGCCGTAGCCGTACTGGTCCGAGTGGTACTTGACGTGCTGGGTGCGGCCGTCCGGCAGCGCCACGCTGTAGTAGCCCTGCGCCGCCTTGCCGTCGTTGCTCTCGCTGTGGGAGAACTTGGGGCCGTAGTGCGGGTCGTCGACGCCGTAGGAGAACTTGTAGGAGGTGGGCACGCTGTGGTCGCCGCCATACCCGCCTCCGTGCCCGCCTCCGTGCCCGCCTCCGTGCCCGCCTCCGTGTCCGCCTCCGTGCCCGCCTCCGTGTCCGCCTCCGGCGCTGACGGCGGCCACCAGGAGCGATGCGATCACCAGCACCTTCATACTGCTGCTGAGCTGTGGCTACACTGCTGTGGCCGCTGGGTGGACTGGTGGTCTGACCGCTGGCCGTCTCCGTTATATACGGCTGTGTTGGGGGCTAGTGCCGGGGGCAGCCGAGGGTGACCGAGCTGACCCGGGCTCCCTTCACGACTGGGGACACAGCCGGGTCACGATTCATGCCTTACCGATCCTGCCAAACATGCATATTGCAATTGGATGAAGTTTTTTTTTGCTTTATTTAAAAACCATAAACAATTAAAAAGACATAGTTTTAGATTTCATTAATCCGTAATATGCTGTTGCTGTGGGAACGAGGGATAAAAAAACAAATGTTTAACTAAAAAAGCAAAATTGTAAGCATAGTTTGCAGAACTCACTCGCAAACACTGACGGATCCATGAGGGAAAGGGGTCATTTGTGGCCAGTGCGCCCCTCCCCCCGCCTTTTTGGAATTTTGAGATTTTCTTAGGGGTCTTGGACCCCCGCAGTGTGCAAGACCGCCTTTCTGGATACGCCAGTGCTCATATAATAGGAAAACGTAGCATGAAATATCGGGGTTCATTTGAGCTGGTGATCACTGATGCCTTCAATAGAAAGGGCATCGCTTATCACATGTTGCGAGATTAGCCGTGTTACGAAGTTTCAGGTTTGCTGCAGTGACTTCATTACACCTGCTGTTTGCATTGGAGCACGCACCAAATCACACCATAGTTAGTCAACCGTAACACTTTTCCCTCCAAGGGCAGAGCATTGTCAGACGTGACCCGGCTGTACCCCAGCCGTGAGGGGAGCCCGGGTCAGCCCGGTCACCCTCGGCTACCCCCGATACCAGCCCCGAACCCAGCCGTATATAACAGAGACGGCCAGCGGTCAGACCACCAGTCCACCCAGCGTCCACAGCAGTGTAGCCACAGCTCAGCAGCAGTATGAAGGTGCTGGTGATCGCATCGCTCCTGGTGGTCGCCGTCAGCGCCGGAGGCGGGCACGGAGGCGGGTACGGAGGCGGGCACGGAGGCGGACACGGAGGCGGACACGGAGGCGGGCACGGAGGCGGGCACGGAGGCGGGTATGGCGGCGACCACAGCGTGCCCACCTCCTACAAGTTCTCCTACGGCGTCGACGACCCGCACTACGGCCCCAAGTTCTCCCACAGCGAGAGCAACGACGGCAAGGCGGCCCAGGGCTACTACAGCGTGGCGCTGCCGGACGGCCGCACCCAGCACGTCAAGTACCACTCGGACCAGTACGGCTACGGCGGACACAACGCCGAGGTGACCTACTCGGGATACGCCTCGCACGGCGGAGGAAACGGCGGTGGAAACGGCGGATACGGTGGAAACGGCGGCGGATACCGCGGTGGACACGGTGGAAACGGTGGACACGGTGGAAACGGTGGACACAGTGGAAACGGTGGTGGATACGGCGGTGGATACGGTAGCAGTCACTAAAACTGTCTTATCACCCCTTTTTATCGAGTGCTGACGACAATAACCTACCGAATACCGTTCGTGATCGAATTCATGGGAATTTTGATCGTATCCAAAATATAAGTTACGCTGACACTGGAAATATGTTTAATCTGCGCAGCTTTAAATGTTGAGATTATTACCTGAATTTATAATGAGTTTCCAAATACCTATTAGAGATATTTGGGACAGAAGTTGAGCAAGTCTTATTTCTGGCATATTGGCTTACAGCGCCAAGTAACGTAAAAACATAAGCACAAATATTTATGGTATATATGCCTATACAAGTAAAGGAAGTCACACGAGTGCGTTATTCATTCTTATTTTTATGTCCTTTTTTCATAACTGCCGATAACTTTTCTTGTACAAATAAAGTAGACGCACTCTAAATGGCCAAAGATAGGTACTGATTTTTTTAACGGTTATCCCGGAGGAGTACGATCGTAGAGGAACAGCTATCCACCGGTTATTTAGCGCGATAGCGGTCAGCCCGAAACACGAAAAAACGCGATCCAGAACGGAAATGGCTAGTTTTGAAAATATAAAAGACGGATGTGGGACAAATAACTATGAGAATGTAAAGGCTGAAACAGACTCTTTCCGCATTTAGGAAATCGCATGCGACTCATGCGAAAGCCTATTCAAATACGTTATAATTCTTC